CTTATCGTGCCCTCTGCCCTGCTTTATTCCTCGTCCTAAGACCATCATTTCCCCATGACCCCATCTTGGCACCCCCGAAGACCCCCCCACCCTGTTGTTCTCCCCTGATGAATTTCCAGCCCCACCTCCCTCCAGAAGGGTCCTATCCTGGCATTGCTTTGCCTGTCTCTTGCCTACGGCTCGTACTTTCTGTGCCCCTCCGCCTTTGCTTCTCGTGGCTTTTAGGCCCTTTCTGAGGAAAAGAAAACTCAGCAAAACTTTTAGAAAGTGTTGTGACTTTCTGTCCCTGGCTCTCTGCCTCTGCCCACTTTCCCCCTGCTCGCTTCTCCGTATCCTTTGCCCTCCCCGTTTAGTCCCTCGCGTGCCTCTCTGCCCCAAGGGATCGTCTAGCAACACTGCTCTTCCTTTCTCCCCTGGTTCACCTACTTTGACTGAGACCCCTGTCCCTGTTTCCTTTGCTGTTTGTTTCCTGCTAAACCTGAAGGCTGCCTCCCCTAGCATCTGCTTTTCTTGAAGCGCATGTTACTTATTTTCTGTCTCTGCTCTGCCCCGATTTCCTTCTACCTCCTCATGCCTGTTTTTAGACCCCCCCCCCACGGTTTTTGCCTGTTCCTGCCCCCTTGAGAATTCTTGTTGATGGCGGCTTTGGCCTATATGATTGTTGCTCTGCAAAAGGGCATCTATTGGTCTTTTCCTTTCTCCCTGTGCATGCTTTTTCAGTGGCTGCACCTTTTCCAGCACCTTGTCAGACCTGCCCGTCTGGGTCTGCCTGTAGCACTTAATGGTTAAGTTGAAGAGCGGTGGATTTGGGCACATTTTATTTTCTTCTGCAATGGGGGCTGGGAGGAGAGTGTGCCTTTGTTTCCTTTCCCGAGTATTCAATTAATTATTTTTATATATTCATTGCATTTCTATATAGCCCAATCACCTTAGCTCTCTGGGTGGTTCATAACTTGAGCCAGCATTCCTTAAATCAGAATAAATGAGTGCTTATTAATGTCATCCCTACATCCCTTCAGCTGCTGTATAGAAGCATGCAAACTGGCCACTTCTCTGTTTACTTGTAGTGTATGAGCATTGTCTTTAGGTCTGCAGGCAAGGGAAGGTTTTGTACCAAACAAGTCCCTTCTCCCCATGCATCCCCCAAATGGATGTCTAGATGGGCTAGTGAAATATTTATGTGGGCTAGTGAGTGTTTACACAACTGTTGGACACTGCAGCTCTTCCCCTGGCTCTTTAGTTTTAATTTTAGTAAATGTATGTGCATGATATATTCCCCCCCTCTTCTCACTTTCTCTCCTTTCACTGGGATTTCAGAAGCTTTTTTTTCTTTGCAATGCAAGCAATTGAGTATGAATTTATAAATTTGCTTAATTTTAATAATGCTTCCATGTGAAGCTGAGGAGACATGGTTTTGTTTGTGGGGAGGGGAGACGCAGGTTGTACAGAGTTTTTTGTTGACTAACTTTTATAGGGAGTGCTTCAGGGGTATCTGCTTCATATCACAACCTATTGTGCAACCTCTCTGCCTCTTTCCACTCCCAGAGTAAAATGAGCACGGAGGCTGAACAGGCCCTCCTGCTTCACATGACACATTGTGTGACAAATACACATGCCCTCCTTATGATCTCTTCATGCTCGAGGGCAGTGTGGCATCACAGCACTTCTAACACATCACTGCTCACATGCTCTGTGAGCACAGGATTTGTGCTTGAATCATAGAACTGTGCTGTGAATGTGCATGCTAGTTTCCATTCTTATGTTTCAGTCCTCGAGGCAGAAGAGTTGCATTGCAAAATGCCAGCATTTCCCACCTTTCTCCAAAAATGGAGTGCAGCTGTGAGCATAAAAGAATGAATAACATTCTTCCAAGTTTCTGCACACTGAATGTGCTTCCAGTACGTTGTTGTTTATGTGGGATTTTGTGTTAGAAGCTGACAAATCCCGTTGACCAGGTGAGATGAGAGGAGACCTCATTCTCTCTTTCTTACGTATCCCCCATCTCCTCTTCCCAGCAGCTGCGAAGCGACTTTGCAGAGAATCCCTGTGAGTCCCCATCTCCCAAGATGGCTGGCTCAGCTGGTGTTGCGGGGCAGCATTTCAGAGGGGGCAGACGGCCCACCTGGAATGGGATGAGACAGGTAAGTGGTGGCTTAACCACCTTGTTTCTGTAGCATTTTGCCTGTAGCTTCCCCTGGATTTTCTAGATGAGGAAGGAACAATCTTGCTCAAGATAACTCACTGCGCAATCATCTTTTACTGGTTTTGCTTGCTTGCTTATCTGGCTCCTTCCTTAAATAGGCAGCAGTTTATTCAAACATATCCCCTTTCAGCTCCTGATAACCTCGCAGGCTCAGGTTGTCTCTTTCCACCTCCCCAAACTCATGCTTTGAGTAGCCAAGGAGCCTCTCCTAAGTATGTACATGGCAGAACAGATTCACAGGCCCTGCACAATCTGTGAGAACCCTGTTTCAACAACTTACATTTTTCTGCTGTACTTGCAGTTAAGATCAAGATCACTAATATATCGTCAGCTCTGGCCACCCTGGTCTGTCTTTCCAGGCATGCTTATGGTCCAAACAGCAAATCATGATTAGCAAGATGAGCATTTTATTTATTTATTTTGCTGTTCTTCTTTCAAAGAACTCAGGGCAGCTTGTGCTCTGCCTGCCTCCCACCTTTGTCCACACTACCACCCTGTCAGGTATATTAAGCTGAAGGATGGAGCTTGGTCACCCAGAGAGCTCAGCTGAGTGGGAAAGGAAAGCATCTCTCCCTGCTCCAAGTCCACGGCTCCCCCTATTGTATCACACCCGTTCAAAATGATCATTTTATTTAGAATTTCTAAATCTTCTGGAATGTCAAACATATTGAGGTGCTGTACAGCAATAAAGGTATAATTTAAAGTGTGAAATAACTAACATACAGCCAGTGGCCGTGCATTAAAGTTCTGGGTACTCATTAACAAATCCTGTACTTGGGCAATACACATTCCTTAGCAAGGCAAGCTAAATTCTGTAACCTTCATAAAGTTGCACAATTTCTCACATTCTGAACACATTCTGTTTTTCACCTTAACTAGCTTAAAATCACTAAGCCGGTTGCAAGTATAGTGTCACTTTTTCCTTTTTGTGACTGTGTACAACAGCAGCAGCTTGCAGATTCCCAGGATTTCGCTTCTTTTAATGACTGGTCTTGGGTGGTGGTCTTATGGGTCCCCCCCGCCCCCCACCTCTGCTTTTTCCCCCTGTCTGAGTGGTGAGTCTTGTTAGGATTTTGTTTGACGGGCTGTTGACATGGGCTTGAGAACTCTGCATAACTTGTTTCCTTAATTCTCCTTGCCATCCTGTATGGAAGGCAGGCCAAGGGGAGCAGTGGGGAAGCGGGGGGGGGGGGATGCCGAGCCTTGCAGAGCAGTGCGGGAGGCTGCATTCGGCTGCCGCAGTGTGTGCCGCCGTCCTCGGTGGCCAGGATGTTGGGAGGAAGGACATCCACTTTTCCCTAGGCAGCAGCCCCGGCCTTTTGTCACCCGGCCCCCAAGCCCAGCATGACTCCCCAGCTGATGTTTTGCTGGCAGGATTCCCAAGGTTTACCCCCTCACTGGGGAAACGCTGCCTCGTCCCACCCGCCTTCCAGCCCCAAACCCTTCAGGTGGGCTGGGGGACCCTTCCCTGCCAAAGTCCTTGTGCTGACTGGCTTATCTTTGCTATGATGGGACCCCAGCCACGCCCCCCATGCCCCCCCCCCCCCGCTTTGCCTGCCTCTGGGGCTGGTTTGGCTCCAGGAAGCAAGGGCCCCTCTGGCCCAGCCATCTCTGCTGTGACAGTTTGGACTGCAGTTCTTGTTGTCTCTCTCAACTGGCCATGCTAACCAGGACTGATTGGAGTTGGAGACGGGCGTCTCTGGGGGTGGGGGGTGTCGGACTGGGGAAGGCTGTTGGCTAGCAGGACCCGAGGAGTCACCTCTCCTCCTCCACGGGGTCCCAGCCCTCGTGCTCGGCAGGGCGGTGGTGCCTCCACGTGGCAGTCTGCCCAGGGCTGCCACAGCTGTGTGTGTGACCCTGCTGTGCACTGAGCCTGTGGGGGAATGTGGAAAGAGGCCTTCTTTTCTCTGGAGCTCCATCTGGGTCAGCTTGTGTGGAAAGGCCTCGTCCCCGATTGTGTGTCGAGGCGGCAGCGTGTGCGGTGGTTCGTACTCACAGGACAGTGTGTGCGCTTTCCCTAAAGGCAGAATTAGTTTAGACCTGGCTTTGGGCTGGCTTCATACCCATACCCTCCCCACTCCACCCACCCATGCAAAAAGCCAGGAGAGCAACTTTTGACCCCTGTCTTCTAATCTTTAAAATGATTTCTTGATGAGGAGCTGGAGATGGGGGTTGGGTAGACTGCAGTGTTTAATGTAAATATTTTCAGCAATTAACCAGTATTCCATGTTTAGTCTTCAGGGGTGGGCGGGTGGGTGGAAATGGGCGTACAGTAAATCTGCAGATTGCTGAGCAGCGGGGAAAGAAGCGGCGCTCTGTAATGATGACCAGATGTCTGCAGCTTATCCGAGGGGTGTGTGCGCTGGCCTGCCAGACCGAGCGCCTTCATCCAGCCTGTAATAAACCCAGAGGAGTCCCCAGCGTACTTCCCCAAGGGGCAGCAGCAGCCTCAAAGGAAGGGGTGGGGTAATTCAGAGGAGAAGAACGTTTCTGCTAACAGCAATCGGTCAAGAAAACGGGGTGGAATGTCCCCACCTGGACGCTCTCACTTTGCATTGCTCAGGCTGAGGGCTAACCCCCAGCACCCATCGCTTCTGTGCACGTCTTCTGAACTCCTTGGAGGTGTCTCATCTGGGAAAGGAATGCTGGATTAATTAAGTGCATATGAGCGGTATTTTAACTTTGTTCAGTGTGGGTATTTTGAAGACCATATTTCCTGGGCTTTGGAATCTGGCTTGGGTCCTGCTTCCTGTGGTGCTCTGTTGGGCCCTTTGGCAAGTAAGCATGAGCAGGAGGGCCACCTCAGTGGTGCCATGGCTATTTCCTACAGAAAGAAACTGACCACACTTTTATTTCGACTGGCCCTTGACTTTAGAGCAGGGCGGTTGTCTGCAGCCTTCTGCGTTCAGCCCCAGCCTAGAGAGACCCTCTGTAGGGTTCTGTGGCAGATATGAAAAATGCATCGCAAAGGAAGACTCTTCTGGAGTCTGCTGCATTTCCAGGGGGCACCTGCATCACCAAGAAGTCCTTGTCCTGAGCTACTTTCTAGATTGAGATGCTGTTTTAGAAGGATCCAGTTGTCTCATTTTAAGTGTATGCGTATAGGGGGAGAGGTTAGCGGGTGAGGTTGCTCGGAAGCGTGTGATGAAGGAAGCCAGCCCTGTAAATCGCTCCGCCTCCAACACTTTGCGTCACATGCTAAGCAGATAAACCAGGCCAGAGGGTGCAGGTTCATTCTTGAATAAACTCTGCCCTTAAATTAGCAGGGAGGTATTTAATTTCAGGCCCTTGCAATCTGCTAGCATAGCCTTTGTAGACACTAAATCCTCTTCAGTCTCGCCCCTTGAGTCGAAATCGTTGTTGGCGGAAAGCTATTGAGTGAATGCTTCCCTTTTGGGAGAGAGGGAGATTAAGTCAATTGTGGTGTGTGCATTAATCTCTGGAAGGGGATTGAATATTGACTTCTGGTGCTGGCCTGGGCCAGTCACCAGCCGTGGTTGGTGTTCCCTGCCGATGGTGGTCCCCCCCCCCCCCCGCAACTCCTGGACACATGTGAGAGGGCTCTGTTGGGGGATGGCCCAGCTTTGCAGCGGGCAGCACTCGCAGAAAACCCCGGCGGGGGGTGGGGGGTGGACCCTTCCTCAGCAGGCAGTGATTGCTCTTGCTGTGCGCTCCCTAGCTGGCATGCTGCCATTCAGCTGCAGCCAAAGGAGGGGCCTGGGCCTGGCGGGAGAATTGTCAAAACATCCATGAAGCAGCCCTCCAGATGGCTTGGACTACAACGTCCAGCATGAAGGTCCAGTTGATGAGCTAGCTGGGGCTGTTGGGAATTGTCAGCCAGGCTGTCTTAAAGCATCAGCACGGAGCAAAGCTTTCTGGACTGTGGAGCTAGAGTTCCAGCTCAGGAGTTGTCATCTGTGGTGAGTCACAGTTACTCAAGGTGACCAAGCAAAAAAACATGACCCCCCCCCTTTTTTTTCTTTTAGTCTACAAATAACTGGCATGAGTTTGTGGGCTGCAATTTTAGATATTCAGTGGCCTTCTGCCTGGCTGCTTTAAGTATTAAAATGCCAAAGAATCATCTTTCCATCAGTAGTCCATCAGTGAGAACCTGTGTGGCATCGTCATTAAGAGTGTTGGACTGGAACAGAGGAGGGCTGATTTCTAGTCCCCCCGAGCCATGAAGGCCCCTGGCTGACTTTTGGCCAGTCACTACCTCTTGTGAGGCCTTAATGTATTTCAAACTGTTGTCGTCTTGATGATAAAATGGAATAGAGGAGGCCTTTGTAAGCTGTCATAAGCTTCTAGCAAGAAGAATAAAGGGGTTATAATATGAAATATTATATGAAATATTAAGAAGAATCGTAACACTGACAGTAGAATATAGAAAAAAAGGGCTTTGCTTTTTAAGCTGCCAAACTGTCAGTAGTCCATTTAGTGCATAGACTCAGTTCCCCTGCTCTCTGCTTGCATTCCAGCTTTGAAAACGCGCATTCGCCTTGGCTATGAGTGACTCCGCCGTAGACACGCCACAACCAGGGGATGCGTTGGAGGAGACGCCAGTCGCGGTGCCACCCCAAGGAAATGGAGGGGCGGCGACTGGCCTCGGAGTCATCACAGAAGGCGTCGGCGAGCTGGCAGTCATCGACCCTGAGGTGGCCAAGAAGGCCTGTGAGGAGGTCCTGGAGAAGGTCAAGCTGATGCACTGCATCTCGCCCGACGGGTCCATCCAGTTGAGGGATGGTGCCAGGATGAGGGGCGCCCGGCAGGCTGGCCAGAAATTGCCGAACGGGGAGTGCTGCGAGATCAAGTGCTTGGACGACCCTCCCAACAAGGTCCAGCAGGAGGAGGACGAGCCTGTGGGCGGCTCTGTGAAGAGCGCCCGGCGACGCCAGAAGAACAACTCGGCCAAACAGTCGTGGCTGCTGCGGCTGTTCGAGTCGAAGCTCTTCGACATCTCCATGGCCATCTCGTACCTCTACAACTCGAAGGAGCCCGGGGTGCAGGCCTACATCGGCAATCGGCTCTTCTACTTCCGCAACGAGGAGGTGGACTTCTACCTGCCCCAGCTGCTGAACATGTACATCCACATGGACGAGGACGTCGGGGACGCCATCAAGCCCTATGTCGTGCACCGCTGCCGACAGAGCATCAACTTCTCGCTCCAATGTGCCCTGCTGCTCGGGGCCTACTCCTCGGACATGCACATCTCCACCCAGCGCCACTCCCGTGGGACCAAGCTGCGCAAACTCATCCTCTCGGATGAGCTCAAGCCGGCGCAGCGCAAGCGGGAGCTTCCGTCCCTGAGCCCCGCGCCTGACGCGGGGCTCTCCCCTTCCAAAAGGACTCACCAGAGGTCCAAGTCGGACGCCACCGTCAGCGTCAGCCTCAGCAGCAATCTGAAGCGGACGGCCAGCAACCCCAAAGTGGAGAACGACGACGAGGTAATGGGGCTGGGGGGGGGGGGGGGGAGCGACTGGCTGCGCCGTTCTTGGTCACTTCTGTCCTGAGCTTTGCAAAATGAGGGTGTGGTGTTGCTCGGAAAGTGGGCTCTTGGGCATTGTTCTGTGCTGTGTTTGCCATCCAGAACTCACCCAGGTACTTCTGGGATCTCCAACCCGGTGTCCACTGGGCATTTGTCTCCTTATTAGCTCAAGTTTTTGTTCCAGTTTCTCTCTTTCTCTCCCTCTCCCTCTCTCTCACACACTCACACCTGGGAGGCTGGTATGTCACAGGCCAACACGGTGTCCTCTTTGTGGGTTCCAAGGAATGATTGGCATTCACACCCTCATCTGCTTTGCTCTCTGATTCTTGGGCAAGTCACTTTTCCCACGAGCTTGCCCTACGTGCAGAGGAATATTTTGTGACTGGCCACCCCCCCACCCCCTTGCCTCTCCGTTTGTTGAAGCGCCAACAGCCCTCTTGAAATGTTCTAGATGCACTCACTGTGTGGAGGACCCGGCATCCTTTGGTTATAGATGCATATACTGCCTCCCCAAGGAGCTTGCGGTTAAAACCCACGCGAGGCTCAGATACAAGGTACAGGTGCAGCTGTGGACTGCGGGCAGCATCCTGGTCCAGGCTCTGGGTGTGGTGCCAGCTGATGCTGAAGATCACAGCCCCCAGAAGCTGCCTGCCCATTGACCTGGACAGCCTTGTGGTCCCTCGTAATCGATGTCTCCGGAGTCCCCCGCATTCATGATCTCGTTTCTCTTCCCAACCTGCCTTGTTAAGGGCTTGATTTCCAGCTAAGCGAGGTCTTTGTTCATGCTGTCAGAACTGGATTGGCCTCACTTAGCTTGGCTCAGATGATCACTCAGCCTTGCAGGGTTGTTGAGGGTGTGCCTTTGCAAGATCACATGCTCTCCCTCAGGCATGTGTGTGTGTGTGCACGCACGCACGCACACACGTGTGAATTCTTACCCTGTGCAAAATGCAGCCCTCTGGCATTGGTTGCCCCCCTCTGCCTCGGTTCTGCACCAGACTCCTTCTCTTCACCCTGGATATATTTTTGCCAGTGCTGTTGACGGTCGAATCCAAATAAAGGGGGGAGAGCAGGCAACCGCGAGGCCTCATTTTCCTCCCCTTGCTGCCGCGAGTCTTGCATTCCAAACACCAGATCATGGGTTGGCCATGCTAAGAGGAAGCTTCCCTGAAGAGGCCCTGCGGAGAGTCCCTTTCTGACTCTTGTTTGAAGAGTGGCACGTGTATTTCCCCTTCCTTCAGCAGGGTTGAGGAAAGGAAAATACCACTGAAAAGAGAGGGTAAGGGGGTCACAAGGAAGCCTGGCAGCGGCCAGTCCTGCCCGCTTATCAGATCTAAGCATTATGTGGACACAATGAAGGTTCCTCATTATAATTTATTACCAGTTTTTGAAATGGGAATCTTTGAATGCATCAGGCCTTTATGGCATCTCTGGCCATTTTCCTGGTGTTCTTGTGAGCTAGTATTAATTTTATTTCTTATGCCTTGCCAGCTCCCCCGCCCCCGGCTCTTTCTTGGAGTTCGCTGGCACTGGGGATCTGGAGACCTTGGAGCAGAAACAACGGCTGGAATTTCAGTATCTGCTGGAGGAGCTAATGAATATTTCATGTTCTGGTAGAAATTTCACTCCCTCCTTAGACATGATTTGCATCTCAAGTGAAGGTTCTTGGAGTGGCTGTTGGGGACTAGGTGGTGGCCAAGGTCCTTTTATGAAACCCAAAGGCCCCGGGGGAAGGGCTGGGTCACCAGACTTTTAGGCCAAGGCTAGCAACCTTTGCGGGATCGTGTTGTTGGGTGATTTCCTGAGAGCACTTGGAAGCGTCAATGCATGCTGTGATCCTTGTTTGCACCTTCTGGTGTCTTTGGGCAGGACTGTACCATGTACAAGACTGCTCCCACCTTAACAAATGCCTTTTGCCTGGCTTGGCTGTTTTGCACCACATAGGCAATGAACAACAGCCCCATCTAGCCTGTGTCTTTGTGCATCTGACTTTAATCAGAGAAACAGTGAACATGCCGAACGTTCAAGAAGCCAGAGCTTCTGGGTTGGGCAGAGTCAGTTCCCTGAGATGAAAAAGTGAAATTAAGATTTATGCTTGATTAGTAGGTAACTTCATTTTTGTGAGACTGTAGGTGTATGTTTGTAGTGAGATTTAATTGTAACTATCTCATTTTTAGAACTAGAGAGAAATGTAGTGGTATATTTATGATGTCTTTGACAATCTACATGTCAAAAAATAGCAAGGATTTTATCTTCCTTGTCCACTGTCTTCTTGCCTCCCTCCCCCAGCTTCCCGGAGGTTTTTAATTACCTGCTATGTGCAGTGGGATACTTTATTAAATGAATCCTTCACTTTGATCTAGCAGGGCAGTTAATGATTGGATTATCTGTGATTGGTAGAAGAGGAACCTCTGTGTGCAGGGGCAGTGTATCTTTGATTTCCAGATCCTGAACAGAAACAGAGAGAAGCGTGGTTCGCTTTGGGCACTGTCTGTGGGCTCCCCAAATGCAGATCTACCTAGGTAAAAACTTTACTGCCTCTGGTTTTGGGACTCCGATTCCCATCAGCCCAACAGCCAAGGATAAAAGGAGCTGAAGCCCAGTAACACCTGGAGGGCACTTAGATTCCCTCAACTTCATTTAGATGAACATGTGGTCTAACCCACAAGGGCTGTTCAACTGGTTTTTTTTTTTTTCTCTTTTTGGGAAGAAACATTGCTGCAGTTTGGGGTTCAAGTTTATTCCCCAAAAATCCAGGATATGTAAGCCATCACATGGGAAATTATGCTGTTTACTTCCTTGGCCAGAAGCAACTTGGTGGGAGCTCCTTTCGACCAAAAGGCATCTCTTGGTGTGGGTAGTTGTTCCTTTTTACTTCCTGGAACAGAGGCAAAGCAGAGACAAGCAGCTACACTGAAGTATCCAATGCAAACACAGGCTAGTAATGAAGTACCAAATTGAAGAAGTTCATAATGTGGTTGGCTAAAAATTGGGGAAGAACGTGTTTGAATGCCCTGGGGCCGGGGCCAGGTTTCTTCCAAGCCGGTTTCAAATTTTTAATCTGAATGTGGCTAATACAACAAATTTCAGGTGGAAATGCTGTTTGGGATTCTTCCAAGCTTGAATGTGGGAGAATGTGGTGTGAGGGACCTTTCCCTATTCCTAAGGGATGGGCTGTTCTTTATGAACTTTTATTTTATTTTATTTTTTTATTAAAAGCTTTTGTATGCTGTCCTATTATACAAGATCTCAGGACGGACATTGTAAGCTGTCCTGTGATGCCATGCACAAGGGACGGCATACAAAAGATTTAAATAAATAAATAAACATATTTTTGCCTCCTGCCCGTTTATCTTGAGAACAACTTTACAAGGTGGCCTCAGCCTGGAGAAGACCAGCCTAAAAGCAGCTGAGTCCATTTCATAACCAAGTGGGCCTTTCAGCCCAGCTCAAATCCAGCAGGCTGCCACCTTGCAGTCGGGACTTGGGCTATTTTTCTGGTGCGGCAAAAATCGTTCTCTCCGGATTCCTGCGCCTGTCTTCCCGTTGGCAGCGAGCGAGCAGAGAAAGCGCTTAGCTCTACAGTTGACCCCAAGAGCCCTCCCACTCTCGGCAACCGCATTGTTTGAGAGGACAATGGACTGATACAAAGCCGCTTCCAGTTGCCACGATGGGCCCAGCCACTCGCTCACCAGCTGGAAGCCAGGGCTCTTGCTGGTAATTTATGCCTGAGGACGGCTGAGGCATCCTGAGCGAAATGCAAATGCTTTGGCTGCTGGAGCAAGCTCCCCTTTCCAGCTTGTCTCTTAAACTGCCCGCTTTAAGAATTCCAGGAGGGGATGCGGTGTGAACAGCAAAGGGCTACTGCGGTTGCCATCGTGATCTCAGGGACTTGGCGGCGGCGGGGGCCCTGTGCATCCACTCCTCTGATCTCTTTATCCCTTCCAGCCCTTCCACCCATGCAGGCAGCCCGATGCTGTTGTATGTGGGGATTTGCCAGCATTCCTCAGCTGCCGCCTTTGCTTAGCGGCTGTGATTGTTGCTGGAATCTTTTGCCCAGGCAGGGTGTGGGGGTGGACGCGACTCTCTCCCTGTGCCTTCCAGGATATGTATACTCTACGATTAAAACTGGAGACACCCCCTGTGAAAAATTACAGCATTAACACGTATGTTCCTAACTTCCCCAGAGAAGCTTTTTTATATTTGCAAGGACTCTGTGGGAGGCAGACGCACTGGGGCAGCAGTCCGACCCACCTGGAAGAGACTGAGCCGAGGAGGGCTGTTTTTAGGGTTGACGTTACCCCATTGAGCCTGCAGGTGCTCGAGCAAAACACGCCTCGGCCCTCCCAGGAAGTGCTCCGTGTCCGGGCTTCCTGGTGGCAGCCTGTGAGCTGTGTGCCGAGAGCTTCCTTCGGGGTGACGTGTGCTTGTTGCAACCGCCAACCTTTGTGCAGGGAGTGTTACCCCCTCCCCCCCCCAGGTTTCTGCAGCAACTGCTGGAGACGGGAGGGAGGCCCCGAGAAAAGCGAAGGGTGATTCACAGTGATTCACCTCCAACGGGTGTCCTCATCCCCGCAGCCACTTCCTGTTGGGTTAGGAAACAAGGTGAGATGCGACAAGAGAACCCAAGAGAGCCGATCAAGAGATTTGCAACACCGGGGAAGCTCCCCAACCCCCTCTGAGGGTGCCTTGAGTTAAGCAGCAACTGCCTCCCCCAGCCTGGCTGGCCTTTCCGGGGAGGGCTCGAGCGCAGTGCCCATCCTCCCCAGCCAGCCTGGCCAAGAGGCACTGGAGCCCAGTGTGTCCAGAGGGCCTCAGGTCAGACGGCAGGCCGACCTCAGGTGCTCCCCGCCCTCGCCTTCATTGCCGCACCGAGTTGCCCGCCCTGAGACGTGCCTGGTGGGCGAGGGAGCCCTTGCGAAGGGCCGTTCTCCTGCTTCAGTTTTCTCCGTCTGTGCCGTCGATCAAAGAGCCTGTGCCCCCTCTGCGTGGTGCTCGGCCTCAGAGCCTCTGTTCAACACGGGCAAGAATTCCCAGCGGTTGCTGTTCTCGCAGGGACTCGGCCACACCGCCTCCTGTGTAGCCAGCCAGCCCGGTTGCGCCCGGTCCCAGTCGATGGGGACGGGAGGCAGGCTGGGCTTCTGCGGCGTGGTTTGGCCCACTTAGTTGGTGTGCTTGGAAGGATTGCGGGGGGTGGGGTGGGGGGCATGTTTGTTCTGTGCTCTCGGTGCGGGAGGGAGCAAACTGTGAAGACGGGGTCAGTGAGGAGGAAAGAGCAAGTCGCCCCCCCCCCCGTGGGAATGCATGCGAAGAGCTTTATTAATTACCCCTTAATGGGAGAGTGTCAAAGTCCATCCAGCAGCTTGCTGCTTCGCTCACTCGGAGCCTCTGCAAATAACTCTGGTGCATGGCATCCTTGCCCCCGAAGCACCTCCGCGACTGCTGCTCCTCCCCACCCACGGGCCTGCTCGGCCCGTGTTCTCGTTCTTTCTCTCCCTCTGCTCCTTTATCTGCTTGCGGACCTTGGGAACTTGGATCCAGACCTGCTGCCCCTGGATATCATAGAAATGAGCACAGTGCAGAAGAGGAAGGAAGCTTGCAACGTTTTGGTTTAGAGGCTCGCAAAGCAATATTTATTCAAAGCCTTTCGATCCTGCTTCTGGGTCAAAAGGCTCCTGGAGCGGCTTATGAAAATTAATACGAATGCAGACCTTGCCTTCAGGCTGACAGTGTAAGAGGTACAGGATGCAGGGAGGGGGGCGGGGGGAGATGTTTGCTTCCGTTGCTCTTGGGAGTGGAAGCAGAATCCTTTCTGGAACCAAGTGTACTCCAGTTCCGCACCACATCTGTCGCCCATCTGGGTTGGCCTGCGTGTTGCTGGCCTGTTCCTTTTCCCTGTATAGTTCACTACGGCGGTGGGGGAGAGGAGGCTGGAGCCGTGCATGTTTGTGGGCAGAGGGAATGCCTGACCGAGGTTTACAGAATGATTCATGATGCGGAGTGAGCAAGTAGAGATACGGTTCTCCACCCCTCATAATGCCAGGTCCCCAAATCATGTGATAAAACCATGAATGGGTTTCAGAGCAGATTAAAAAAAAATCTGCACATGGTATGTGAGATTTGCCACAAGAAGGGCTCAGTTAGATGACTTTCAAAGGGGGTGGGGAGTCAAATTTGCAGTGCGAGATCCTGTGATGGCTCCTTGGCACAACACCTGAACGGTCAGTGTGACTTCTGGGTACCTCTTTCTGGAGAACAGTGAGGACTGGATTCTTGCCTGCGGGCTTCTCAGAGCGCATTTGATCAGGGAGAGGGCGCTGGGCTTGGTGAGCCCCTGTCCTCTGGGGGGGGGGGCACTCCTGTGGCCCTTCATTGGCCCCTTTCCCCCCTGCTGTCTTTGCACTTCCCTCTGGCTCTTTGGATGCTGTTGGTCCTCTCCTGAGACTAGCGGGGAGTCCCGCCACAAGGCTTCAGTGTAATCCATTTAATAATCGATTAAGCACCTGGCGCTGGAGGAGGTTAACCTGGCGCTGATGTGGAGGTGTCTTGTTCTGGGCCCTGACTATGGTGCGACGTGTAGCGTCTGCTCCGGGCCAACTGTGATAGCAGCCCCTGGCTGTCGCCAGAACCCTTCTGACCCTGATTTCAGCAAAAGGATCTGGGATGTCCCCAGGCCTGGATGGAGCCACTGAGGGGAGCTAGGTTCTTTCCAGTGTGATTAATTCCTCTGGAGTGGGAACAAGATCTGCGCTCCTTGCCAGCCACCCTGTCATACAGCCTGCTTCTTGGTTGGTTTCCTTTTAAAGATACACTTTAAAAAACATAGAAACATAGAAGCAGAGCAAGTCAGAAGGGGCCTCCCAGGCCATCTAGTCTGACCCCAGCTCCAGCTGGCTCCGCTCACGACATGCCCACCATGTGGACGTCCAGCCTGTCCTTGAACACCCGCACCGATGGGGCCTCAACGACCTCCCGGGGAAGCCCATTCCACACCCTCGGGGTCCCAACTGTCAGGAAGTGCTTCCTGGCATCCAAATGGAACCTGGGTTCCCTGAGCTTTGCCCCGTTGGAGCAAAACAAATCAAAACAGTGTCCATGTTCCAGGTGAAATGCTGTGCCTTTTCCTGCCTTGTCTTTTCTTTTTGAAGAAGTGAAGCCGTTGGCTTGCAGGGTGTGAAGGGGGGTGAAGGTGAGCAGGGGGAGCTCTGGGAGTTGCGGAAGTGGCGTGGTGGGGAGAAAACGAGCAGAACGGTGGGGAGACCCTGGCTCGGTCTGAGCATCACCCGTCTTTCACTCACCAGGAGGGCCGCTGCTCTCATCTTCCCGGCAAAGCTGCTACCTGTGAAATAGCAGCTCATTTGGCCAGTCCCAGGTGGTTCTAGTGCTCATTTGCACATTTCCGATTTGGATCGCTCGCTTGCTCCAAGAGGTTCCGGGCAGTTTACACAGCTCTCCTCTACCCATCCGCATCCCGTGTTCACACAGGAGCCCAGTAAGGCAGGTTCTGAAAGCCTTGAACCGCCGTTTCCTTCGTCCTGCTTCGCTATTAACTCGGCCTTCCTTGGCGTGGTACTTCCCACACGTGTTTCAGTCCAGCTCCTAGGGTTCCTTGCCATTGGCCATGCTGGCTGGGGATGATGGGGGTTGTCACCCAATGCCATTGGTGATGATGAAGCTAGGATGCACCAGCTTAACTCTTGCCTCTGCCCCGCAGCGCAGCCTCGGAATTGCTTTCTGGGATGGAGTGGGCGGCTCTGAAACTTTAACTCGCAGTCGGAGAGGCCCCTCCCCTCAGCTCTGAGCTTCTGCATGGAAATGGTAGCTGAGGCATAGTGCGTCAGTCCTGTCACTATACCCCCAGTCTTAGCGTGCCATAAAAGTGTGGCTTTTACACCCTTGCATTTTGGAAAGACAGAAATGGCCACCCCATTCTCTCAATACCTGGAAGCAGGTCTCACTAGCCTGGTGCCTTCTGGAAGTTTTGGAATATCCATATACCTGGAGGGTGCTGACTGTTCGGAAGGCGTCCCTCGCCCCCCTGCCGTCCCCTTTCCCCAAGGCCCTGATGGTGTCCGCGTCCCGTCGTCCTTCCACCTCCCAAATGGGCTCATTTGTTCACATGTCTGCCTTTGGCTGTCAAACCCCCGTGCGTGCGTGCGTGCGTGTCTGTCTATGTGTCTGTGTGTCTGTCTGCTCTTTCCCAGTGAATCCAGGGAATTCACTTTCCAGGGAATGTGGGAGGTGCTACTTGCTTGGATTACCTCTGAATAAATCGAGAGGGGAGAGTGAAACGTGCCGCTCCTGGAGTACCCCGCCTTGGCATGGCAGGCACCAGGGATGCCCGCAGGGCCAGTTGCAGGGGAAGACGGCCGTGTCCTCATCCAGCTCGTGGCATCTTGCATCCATCTGGCTTCGCCCTACTGGAAGCAAGCGCCGGCGCTCCTCTCCCACGCACAGTCGGGGGACCGACTAGCCGGTCGATCGTGGGGGTGGCGGGCGCAGAACCGCTTCTTCCAGCCCCGCGATCCGCATGAAGCGTGTGGGGAGAAGGTGGTGCAAAAGGGCAGTACAGAAAGCTGGTTTTAAACTCTTGCCTTTTTTCTCCTCAACTTTCCTCCCACCCCGCCTTCCTCCCTCCTTCCCAAAATACACCCCCCCCACCTTTCATTCATTTCCCAGGAATTGTCATCGAGTACGGAAAGTCTTGATAGATCATTTTGTTCCGTAAGTGGCCCATGTTTAGCTTCTTTCCCCCACCCGCACCTTTCTCCTCCTGCCCCAGCAACTGGGCTGCCTGTCTCCTCGTCTTTCCCCCCTTGTGATTATGTTTTAATGCACTTGTTTCTTCCACAGCAGCATTTCCTCTCTGTCATCATACGAGCCACTTGCTAAGCCTCTGGTCACTGTGGCAGATGCATCTTGCAAAGCAGCACGGCCGTGCCTTTCCCTGCCCTCCCCGTCTCCCCTCCCCGCAGTTCCGGAAGCCTTCTTGCTGCCCCGGCAGGATCCACTTGTGGCCGAGCCTTCGCTAACCCCCCTTTCCTCCCCACTCACCACAGCGTGCATGCGAAGCTCCCTTGGAGCTGCAGCGGAGCAGGGTGGGCGCCTGGAGCCCTGGGCGGCACCGCGAGGAGGGTCTTCTCTGTATTAAAAGACGCGTTAGCTGCTTTTCCAGACCGGGGCTGTCAGACCATGGATCCATGAGCCAATCCCGCCTGCCCGGCTGGCCCTCTTTCACCCGTTTCCACTGGCAATTTCCTGTTTTTTGTGTGCCCCCATTCTGAATAGTTGAACTGCATCCCATAAGGTTTAGTTCCTTGCTATTAAGAGCCGCAAGCTAAAACATGCTTGTCTTTTTGCCCCTGCCCACCTCCCTCCCCTCCCCAAGCAAAGCTCCATCAAAACTGGAGTGACCCTCGGGCTGAGGGGCATGCAGGACTCCTTCTCTAGTCAGATCCGCACTCAGAGTGGTTTTACAGTAAAAGTTGTGACTGGAGCAGCAGCAATTCCATAGGGCTTTAATCCATGTTTTTTTCCCCCTATCTTATTTGTTGGTTGTCTGTCTGCTGCACAATGCTCCCTTTTATTTATGCCTGGCGTTCCGTTCCTCCTCCAAAGCCATCTGCAGAGAAACCTCCCTCTTTAGGAACTTTCCTCAACCCCAAATTTATTTTAAAAAGTTAGATTCCCCTCCCCCTTGTTTCCCAAAAAGGATTCAGGGCAGTTGACCAATCAGAAAATGCCATGCAGTATTCAAACAAAGCTGTTCTGCCACCCTCATGTAAGAAACCGGTTGCTTTTTCATTTTTCACATCGCTGAGTTGCAAGAATGTTCAGCTGGCGATGGTTGGAAGCCACTCATTCCGCGGGTGTTGGCCTGCCCCTTTGATGGCAAAGCTTTAGAATACTTTAAGGCAGATGGTTCTCCTGTTTTCAGAATCAGCATTGGTTTGCCACCATATCAGCCAAAAAGTTCTAAAGCAGCTTGCCCCAAGCTGATTGCTGGACTATAATTCCCATCATCAAGGTGACCTGCCTTGAAGATGCAGCCTTTAAATGAGCCAAAAACAATGCACATATCTTTACTCCTGGCCACTTCTTTTTGCTCAAGTTCCAGATTAAAGAGGAAATGCTGTTTTCTGCTGCTTTGAACAAATTCTTTTTAATTTAGCACGTCATGTGTTGTATGGATTTGCAGCTGTTTCTGTTTCATATAATAAAACAATTAAAATCAGTTTTTTTCTCTTTCTGTTTAAATTTTGCTCTTGCTGATCATACTTCATGACCGCCTCTCCAGAACATGTATTCCTCTTGCTCCTTGCTATGGGTGGGAGGGCAAGATGTACAAATGAGTTTTATGGGAGAGGGGGGACTCGGGAAGCACTCTCATTTACTGGATCAACAATGTCTCCATGACCTCATTCCTGCAACACATTTCTGCCACGTGGCTTAAATTAGCTGTTGTTTTTGGCACATACCAGGCAGCTGTGAGCATCTCTTCCATAACTCAGTTTCCCTTGATAGGTTGCCTTATTGTCTGAACCTGGTTAAAGGAAGGTTGTTGGCATAGGTAACAAACTACCCACAGCCCTGGGTTCACATGACAGCTACCCGCAGGTCCTGGGTTACAGGACGGGTGCCTGCAGCCCTTGGCGGCTTTAAGTCACCTCGTCCGAATGTGGTTGTGTGAATCTGCCCCCATTTCTCAACCAGCCTTTTAATACACGCTGCCCTTTCTTGGGGTTTTCTTCCAGATGTGGGAGTCTCAGTCTTAACGCTTCGTTATTCATAGATTGCCGTAGTCCATCATCAGTCAGGTGGTTTAGCCATGGGGACAGAGGGGGAGGAATCGTGGCTGCTCGGTCCCCTGCTTGCTGTGGTTGAACAGGGATGTATCGAGAGTGTAGTGTGTGTCCCTTATGTTATCGGGAGTAAGCCCCAGGGAGCTTACAATTGCCATTTAGAAAGGGGAGCAGGAGGCGGGAAGAAAAGGTGGGCCTGCTGTTGGCCCTGCCGCTAGGGCTGATGGGAGCGGCAGCTTTGGGAACGGCCGCGGTGATGGAGGAATCTGAGCAAATGCCATTGTGCCTGGTTCAATTGCTGTGGAATGTCTGCTTTCAAATCCTCCTACCCTTGATTGCAGCTTATTTGTTTTGGCATTAGTGTTGCTGTTACTCAAACAGATTAACACTTTCTACGCGCTGTGCACATTTCCTTTAAGAAGCGCAGCCCCTGCGTGCGCAGCGTTTCCCAAAGGAAGCCTTGCCACTGGGCGGTCCTGTATGTTTGCAGTTATTCTTGGATTCTTTTTTTTTCCCCCCCCCCCCCCCCCCCGTCTCATTTATTTATTCCATTTTTATACTGCCCGGCAGCTGAGGCTCTCTCAGGGCATCGCAGCTGGCCGGGGCGGTGAGGATGAGCTGGGTAGTGTGAGCCGCCGTGAGCACGTCCCGGTCTGCCAGACGTGCCCCCCCCCCATCTTCCGCTGTCATTGGGTACATGGGGAGCAGCTTTAATGTAAACCACGAGGAGCACTTAGCCCCCTTCTTCTCCTTGCCCTTGGAGTATCAGGAAGTGCGCCGAGGAAGCGCCCCTTTTGGTTCTGGAGTCTTGTGTCCCACCTTGTGCTTTCTCCGGGCAGCATGCTTGGAACGGTTGGCGGCTTCTCTTTCCCTGCATGGCTCTTGGCAGCACGTGGGCTTGGCGGTGCTGGTGGCGGGAGCGGCTTGGTAACACGCCCCTGGCTGGAATAAGTATGTGCGGCAGGGAGGCTGGGTGCTTCCCAGGGCGCTGGCCGCCTGGCCTCGCTTCAGAAGGGCTGGGAGAGGGATCCCCACAGAAGGCGAGAGGAAACTCCACGATCCGGTTGAGTGCTACCGCTTGATTACGCCAGCTCGAGGGCCGCGGAAATCAAGTTGGAGATCTCGTAGGGGTGGGGCGACGGGCAGGGTCAACGTGGAGAAGACCGCATGGTCAGCCCGAAGGTGAAACGCGGTAGGAGGGGCTCTTCTGGGGGGCTGGAAGGCTCAGGGTTGTCCCAGGAAGAAGCCGCACGCAGGCAGTGTGTCTTTTTTAAAAAAGCCAGATCCATTTGTTAAGTGGGTGTGCCATCCTCAATGCTTAATAATCATCTGTAATATTTAGCATTGTATTAATAGGGGGGTTAACTGAAGTATACATTCTTGTAATCCTTCCAACAGCCCTGTAAGGTAGTCTGGTCTTGCTTCAGTTGTACTGCAGGTGGGTGCTGAGGGTCTTTTAGGTTCCTTCCCTGATCAGTGAACCAGGAACCTATCCTCTTAGCTGCACCTGCTCCTTTTCTTACAAGACAGGTACAGAAAATATTTCCACTTTTGGAAATAGTGGCCATATTAAAGTATTAGGAAGGGCCCTCTTCTTTTGGAATGGGGCAGCAGCTGGAGGAAGAAGCCCCTGTGGCCCTCTACATATTGGGATCGAAATCTCTTCTGCTCAGTCTGGCAAGGATGTAAGAGGCTGTAGTCCAGGAGGGCATCAGGCTGAGGAAAGATGGCCCAGTGTTTAGTGATGCCCAAGTAATCACAGATTACTATTTTTTAAAAAACTGAACACGTTCAAGTGTTTTCTTCTCCTTGCCAAGGAAAAATGTAGCAGCAACAGGCAGATCTGGCCTCCTCACAGCAAGGATATAAGCCCATGTGGTTTTGCTCAGCATTAGTCCCAAGGATTCCTGGCCGTTTTGTACCCCCTACTGGCTGCTCGGGGGAGGACAGTGGGGGAATTGCGAGTGAAGGAGGGCCAGGAGCCCTCTCTGCCCTCGGTTCTGGCAGGGTTCGAGACAAGCCAAACTCTGATTTTGCCAGACTCTGCAGGAAACAGGGAATCTCAGGCTGGGAGCGGCAGGGAAGAGAGTCCATCCTGGCTGGGCAGCTTTTCACATGGCTGAGATTTGGGGAGGCTGATCTAGACGTCCCCCCTCCTGCCCAGCTCCCTCTGCCATTACTAAATACCTCAAGCTGTGTGGCACCCAGAGAACAGCTGTATTTCCCTGTTTTCTGGCCAACGGAACAGCCTTTGAAGACCTTAGTGCATTCTTTCCCTACCACCAGCCGCCAAGAAATGGCAAGGGGACAACGTTGGTCTCTCCCAGCCCCTAAAGCAGCGGGCAGGTGGAGAAGGGAGGCCGACAGCCCACGACCTCCCTAGAATTGCAACGGGGGGACACCCGCTGAGCCTTTTCCCCACAGAGCATGTGACAGCAGCAGCTGCTGGGTCAGGAGCTGACGAGACACTGCGTGGCTGGAAGGGCCCACAGGGGTTTTGAGAGCGGCTGTGCGAGAGAACAAGGGTGCGCGCACATTGCTAGAGGGCCGGCGGGATGCGGCCTGCAGGCTCGGAGAAGGGACCAGTTCCGGGTCTCATGGCAGGGCATGGATGTCCCACCACGCTTGCAGGGTCCTGGCTGCAGTGCCACCCAGGCATCCTGACGGCTTTGCTCAGAGCGCAGAAGCACACTCATCGTCAGAGTGACCTCGTGGCAGCTCTGGACAAAAGCCCAAGACCTCTAGGCCAGCGTCTTTGCAAAAGATGGTGGGCACGTCATGAGCGGAGCCGGCTGGAGCTGGGGGTCAGACTAGATGAGCCGGGAGACCCCTTCCGACTTGCTCCGTTTCTATGTTCCCAAAAGCACTGGGCTCCACGTTCTGTTTTTCATCCTCCCTCCCACCCAATTGTTTGTAAAACGCACGCCCCCCTGTTCATCCCTACGTAGCCTGTCCGACTAGCCCCTGAGCGAGAGTTCATCAAGTCCCTGATGGCCATTGGGAAGCGCTTGACCACGCTGCCGACCAAAGAGCAGAAGACACAGCGCCTCATCTCGGAGCTCTCCCTGCTCAACCACAAGCTGCCGGCCCGCGTCTGGCTCCCCACTGCTGGATTTGACCACCACGTGGTGCGGGTCCCGCACACCCAGGCTGTGGTGCTGAACTCCAAGGATAAGGTCAGGAACAGGAGGTCTGGGGGGAGGGGGTGTGCTTGTCCCTGTGCGCATAGAATTGTCGGAGTTGGGACCAAATCAGAGGTTAACTAGCCCATCTCCTTGAGGATGCCCGAAAATCTTGGCCACACTTGCCCTCGACAGGGAAGTATCCAGTTCCCTAAATTTAAAATTCGCCATCAAGGCAGCCTCCCTTTGCGTGCTGACAGACCTGTTGGTTTGGGTCCTATGCCCTGGAGCAACAGGTGAAAAATTAACCCCATCACTCACATGGGAGCCCTTCAGCTACCTGAAGACGGCTGCCATATGCCTCTTGATCATCTCTTACCTGGGTGAAGCACACCCAGGCCCTTCAGCTTTTCCTCATAGGCCTTTGCTACTCCCCTGCCGTGGTTAACAGAGCCAAACGGCAGCACTGAAGCACACCGGAAGTTGCTTCTGTGCCGTGCTGGACCCCACTCCAAAAATGACTCTGTTTCCCCAAATGCCGCAAAGTCATCTCATCAGAAGCTGTCTTTTCTTTCCGCCTTTCTCTTCCCACACCCCTTTCCCAAGGCTCCTTACCTAATCTATGTGGAAGTACTTGAATGTGAAAACTTCGACACCACTAACGTCCCGGCCCGGATCCCAGAGAACCGCATGCGCAGCACGCGCTCGGTGGAGAACCTTCCCGAGTGTGGAATTACGCACGAGCAGCGGGCTAGCAGCTTCACCACTGTTCCCAATTACGACAATGACGACGAGGCTTGGTCTGTGGACGACATTGGGGACCTGCAGGTGGAGGTACCCGCTCCCCGCTGTGCACGGAACTGGGCAGACAGGGGCACTTGCAGCCTGCCCTGGGGTGGGGTGGGGTGTTGGGGAGAGTCTTTCAACCAGCACTTTGGACTGTGTGTTGAGGCCAGCAGAGCACCGGGAGGGTTGGGCTGAACTGAACGGGCGCCTGCCAACTTAGCTTTGGCAAAGGGCAGCTTGCGCCACTTGAGCGTTTTTGGGATTCCAGCCTTGGCCGAATGGAGACTGGGAGGTGGGGCCGGTGCCTTCAGGGGTGCCTCATGCAATCGGACATCGAAGAAACTCGGCACTTCCACTGAACACCTTCCTCCCTCTCCCCACAGCTTCCTGAAGTGCACACCAACAGCTGCGACAATATCTCCCAGTTTTCTGTGGACAGCATCACCAGCCAAGAGAGCAAAGAGCCGGTCTTTATCGCTGCAGGAGATATCAGGTGAAAGGGCCTCCCGACATGGCAGCCACTCTCAGAAGTGAGGGCTGGTGAAAGAGGACCTGGATTTCCCATCCTGCTCCAGGGTTTTCAGAGCAGGGGCTGGGAAGTGATCTGTGGAGAGGGAGAGAGACCGGTTTCTGCACCTGCGTCTAGCATTCCGACCTGCCAAATGTTTGCCTTTCTTTGGCTAGTATGAAGAGGGACAAAATAATTTCCCTCCTTGCCCAGGTTCTTTTCCAAATGCCCTCTTGCCCCTGGACATCGCAATCTCAAGTTGTCCTTCCCTGGATGCATTCTGCTTTTTTCCCTTCTCTGGCCAAGCATTAGCCTGCCAGCCAGCCTGAGCGGCCCTGAGGTCCAGAAACATAACCCCTTTCCAGTGGAAGCTGCGCACTGATGATCCAGTGTCGCAGTCGGCAGAGCCTCGGACACACTGCACTCGGCGGTGCTGTCCGTCCCGGTTCAGGCCGACGGGAGGCAGCGCTCATCTCGCCCTCCTTGCCTCCGTCCTGCAGGAGACGCCTCTCGGAGCAGCTCGCCCACACTCCAACGTCGTTCAGGAGAGACCCCGAGGATCCGTCTGCCGTTGCCCTGAAGGAGCCATGGCAGGAGAAAGTCAGGTAAGGGTGCTGTGGCCGGTGAGCCGCGGCCCCTTTCTGGGGCCAGGGCTGGTGGTCCGTGGGAGCAGGCCGGCAAGCTGGCTCTGGAGGGCCCGCAGGTTCCTGCGGAGGCCGTGTGTGGTTGACCTCTGAGAAGCTCTGCCAGCCACTCCGCTGGCGATGGACAGGTGGCTGCGCTTGGCTCCCCGTGGGGTGGGGGACACCCGGTTCTCGAGGAGGCAGCCCACAGCTTAAGCCACAACACGTAGGAGGCCTTGGGATCAACCCCCGGCCCTCCGGGGGGCAGGGAGGGCCTTTGCCAGTCGGCCCAGACCCTCGTGAGTCGGAGGGACAATATCCTTTCTCAGGACCAGGCGTCCTTAGAGAATCCCGAAGGAAGCCTCAACTCGCCCCAAAGCGGACCGCTGAGCTAGATGCCCTGCGTGGCAGCCGGGCGAGGGAGGGCAGCCCAAGGTGGTCTTCCCCACCCTGCCTGCCCCCCGCATAGCTTTGCTGGGCAACAGTTCCCGCCGCCCCCTTCGTCTCGTCCTGGGGGGCACTAGTTTGGGGAGGACTTGGCTGGAGGCTTGACCGGAAAGGCGCCAGGATAGCGAGGATGGGGCAAAGCACGTGGTGGGTGCTGGGCTGCAATTTGTGATAAAATAAGGGTTAAGTGAGGGGCTGATGGCCGAAGGGAAAGGAGTGGCAGAGAGGACCCCGCAGCCGCTGCTCCTCAGCGCTCCTTGCCCCTGAGCCCAGATGCCGGCCCTGCTGTGGCTCTTCCCGTCTCCCGGCCGGCCGTTGGAGGTTCCTGTGCCCACGGGGCCAGCCGGTGGCCTGGGCAGGGGCCCGGCTGACCAGCCCCCCTCTCTCTGCTGCCTTCCGCCAGGCGGATCCGGGAGGCCTCTCCCTACGGCCACCTCCCCAACTGGCGCCTCCTGTCCGTGATCGTGAAATGCGGCGACGATCTTCGGCAAGAGCTGCTGGCCTTCCAGGTCCTCAAACAGCTGCAGGTGAGCGAAGGGCAGCAGCGGCCGGGATGCTCATGCGCAGGTGCCGCCCGGCTGGGTCGGCTGCGGGGTCGGCCTGTCCCCCTTTCCCGCAGCACCGCAGAGCCAAGCGGAATTCCCAGCAGGTCCCCCGGCAGGTGCAGGAAGCGCACTGACGGCAGCAGGTGCCGCCTTAACCGTGCCAGTGAGCGGCCAATCCCCCCCCCCCCGGATGCTGGAGTGGCGCCTCCCCAGCGCAGTGCCTGCCTGCCCCCGGGCCGTGCTGGCTGAGAGGGCTGGCGCTGCAGGCCCGGCACTTGAGAGGCCCTGGGGTGGGGAGGGGTGGGGAGGGCCGCCCTGCAGCGCGGCTGAATAGGAAGCTGCCAGGTGACCCGCGCGGCCAGCAGAAATCCGGAGCGGCAGCAACGTACAAACGGACTGGGGTGGTCCAGGTGTGGTTCCGCGGTCGCTTGCTTCCCGGGTTCAGCCCCCGGCAGCATCTCCAGGTCAGGCTGCAAGAGAGAGACCCAGGAGTGCCTCTTGCTGGGCTGGGCTGCGTAGGACGAGGGTCCCGCTGGGTGGAAGGCGGCTGCCCCCGTGGCTTCATTCCCAGGTACCGGTGCAGTGGGGTATGCAGGGGTGCACAGCGGAAAAGCTGGGCTGGCAGAGCAGTCGGGTGTTGATAGTACTGATAATAATGATAGTAGTAATTTAATGGCAGCCCCTTGCCGCTGCTGCTGGTATTATTATTTTAGGGTTAGGGTTGGAAAAACCAAGGCCCCTGTGAAGCCGTTGAGGCTTGGAGCACATTTGGAATGGGCAGAAAGAGGGAGCTGAGCACAGAAACTCGCACCAAGTTGGCATTTTGGAAATCTGTCTTGGAGCATTGGTGGGAAGGCCGTCGGGTCCAACCCTCTGCTGTTGCAGGACACCAAGTTACACCATCCCATTCAGATGGCCCCTGTGGTTCTCCTAACCCTAACCAGGACCTTAACCCAAACCCTAATATAGGGCTGAATTACCCATGCCTCAAGACAGATTTCCAAAATGCCAGCAAATAAAAATGAGATATATATTTTAACACGCACAGGGTGAGACTCCGTAATTGCTAGTCAGATGCATAAGAACGGCTAGCCATTTCCCCCACAGAGCCTTAGTCTCCTGGAGCCAGTTTCGAGCCCCACACGCTGCTGTCTCTCCCTACGAGAGAGCATTTCCCGTCTCTCTCAGCATCGGAGCGAGACTGCAGCAGCCACCCGGCCTCCTTTCCTTCCCTTTCAGGCCATCTGGGAGCAGGAGCGCGTGCCTCTGTGGATCAAGCCCTACAAAATCCTTGTCATCTCCGCTGACAGCGGCATGATTGAGCCAGTGGTCAACGCGGTCTCCATCCACCAGGTGAAGAAGCAGTCTCAGCTCTCGCTGCTGGATTACTTCCTCCAGGAGCACGGCAACTACACCACCGAGGCCTTCCTGACAGCTCAGCGCAACTTCGTCCAGAGCTGTGCCGGGTACTGCCTGGTCTGCTACCTGCTCCAGGTCAAGGACAGGTGAGTGCGTGGGGCAGGGAGGGCCCTTGGGAGAAGGGAGGGCAGGAGGCGAGCGGCACTCAGCCTCCCATGTATGTGCGGCTGAGCCTCTCTCCTCTTCTCCCGCCACCGCAAGGCACAACGGCAACATCCTGCTGGATGCTGAGGGGCGCATCATCCACATCGATTTCGGGTTCATCCTCTCCAGCTCACCCCGGAACCTCGGTTTCGAGACGTCAGCCTTCAAGCTCACAACGGAGTTCGTGGACGTGAGTCTGGAAACACAGAAGGGGATCAGAGGGCTCTCAGGTCTGGGGGTGCACGTCCACGAACACACCCCCTGCTGCTGGATGATCCCAGCCAGGGCCAGGCGCGAGGGTGCACGAGGCTCTTGCGCGCCCGAGAGCAGAAGCACACGTCCTGCTTCGTGGCCAGCCACGCTGGAAACAGGCAGTGATGGTTCAGTTCGGGGCATTACGCTGTAACCCATAATATTTCCGAGCCATAGCGTCCCATCGCTCCTCCCGCACGTGCCAGACGTCCTGGCAGGAAAACGCCCCTGGTCCCTCGCCCGCCTGAAGCCCATCTCCGTCCTCGTTGCAGGTGATGGGCGGCCTGGATGGGGACATGTTCAACTACTACAAGATGCTGATGCTGCAGGGCCTCATAGCCGCTCGGAAGCACATGGACAAGGTCGTGCAAATCGTGGAGATCATGCAGCAAGGTACGGGGGTGGCCGCCCCGGGGGGGGGGGGGGGGGCTCCTGCCCACCTCGCAGCACCCTCCCGGCTCGCTTTCCCCGCCCGTTCATCCACCAGGGCACCAGCACAGCGCCCACAGAGCAGCCCCCCCGGTGGGAGGGAGCGGTGGAATCCTGGCCAGACCCACGGGCCCTCCAGCCCTGCCTCGCACCACGCACCAACTTGGGCCGTCCGCTGGCTCCGAGGAGCCTCCGTGGAGCCGGCCCGTCAGCCCAAGCGTGCGTGCTGCTAGAACCTGCTGGAATCGCACGGTCCCTTCAGTCGGCCAAAGGGGCCCAAGTGCCGCGGCGTGCGGAAGACGGAAGCCAGAGGGGGGCGCTGTGGCTGGTGCGCCAGCCAGTCTTCCTCCCCACACACATTTTTCCCTTCGCCAAACGGCCTGGCCAAGGGCCGGGTTGAGCTTGGCGCTCGCGCGTGGCTCTGTGACCTTCCAGTCGGCCAGCTCACGGTGTTCCGCCCCAGCCAGATCTGGGGCGTTTCCTTTAACCGCGGCAAGGAGGTCTCCTGTCCGCTAAACCGGCCTCTCCGGACACTGCCCCGGGGGCACCGGGGCTGCAGCGCCACGCTTCCCGCTGGCCCTCCCTCCAGGGCGGCAAGCGCGAGAGGGGGCCCGTGTGAACCCGGCCCCCTCGGATGCGTGGGGCCGGCCTCGCGCACGCTCGTGCCCCACGGCGCCCCCGCTGCCTGCGGCTCGCTCGGCCCGCTCCCCGCCGAGCTTTCCGGGCGAAGGCTCAGTCCGGCGCGGCTCTCTCCCCCCCCCCCCCCCCGCAGGCTCGCAGCTGCCCTGCTTCCACGGCTCCAGCACCATCCGGAACCTGAAGGAGCGCTTCCACATGAACATGACGGAGGAGCAGCTGCAGCTGCTGGTGGAGCAGATGGTGGACGGCAGCATGCGCTCCATCACCACGAAGCTGTACGACGGCTTCCAGTACCTCACCAACGGCATCATGTGACCGCCGCCGCCGCCGCCGGCCACCGCCTCCCCCCCGCAGCCGAGACCTCGGCGCCCTCCCGGAGCGCGGGAGCAGCCCCCTCCTCCCGAGCGGCCCCGGACCGCAGCGGCTCCCTCACGCCGGGCACCGCTTTTAACCCGACTCTTTTCGACACTGGCGGGAGGTAGCTGTGGGGGAAGCGGGGAGGAGGAGACGAGACGTCCGAACGCTCGCACGCTTGTCATGCGGACAGCGGAGGATCATGTGGACACGCTGCTGAGGTCTGCTTGTGCGAAAGGACAGAGCCTTCGATTGTGGATATCAGAAGAACCATGTTGCGCACCTGTCTGCCCCCTTCCCTTCTCCCCAGAACTTTTTATTTCAGTATTATTATACCTGTTTGCATCTTCTGAACTCTCTTCCAACAATCTCGTAAACGTTTTATGGGTCCAGGTGAGATTGGGGGACGGGGGTGGGGGGGAGAGAGATTTCCTTCCACAGCAAGGCCAAGAAGTCCTGCTGTCAAGAGCCGCCTCGCCTCTTCCCGAGATCCCTGTCTCTCTCCCCAGATGCAGCTGACACGCATTCAGTTCCTTCCTCCCCTTTTGTTCTTCCTGCCTCCGCCCCATCCCCTCCGATACACGTCGTCGTGGTCGTGTGAGCGCGTGTGTGTCCCTCTCTGTCGAGACGATTAAATTCCCTACTTGTTCCACCCCATTTTTTTTCATTCCTGCACATTTTAATGCAAGGGTGAAGCTGCGAGTTGCACAGATCCGTCTTTCCTTTAATATGGCCGGGTGCAGGTTCCTTCCTGCTTCTCGGAGTCCAGTTTTAATGTCCCTGGGACATCCCGGGGCCGGGGTTGGTGGGAGGCTGAGAGGCATCATGTCTTGCTTTCTGCAGAACTGCCCTGGGTTTTCCTTTCCAGCTCCTGTTGGTCATTTTTGGTTTTCACGCAACCCACAGTAGTGGGGCAGGCCCGGCTTTGTGGCTGTGTGGGTGGGTGGGGGGTTCATTCTTGGGCCACATAAGCATCGAAACTGCCCCATGCTGCCGCAGACCAATCTCCACAGCTGGAGATGCAAGTGCCGGGTGTCCCGCTCCTTAGCTGTGAATGTTAAACATTCTCACTTTCTGAAGTGCTTAGACAAACCGGTTATTCACTGGTGCAGCTGGGAAGCCCCCCACCCCACCCTCTCAGATCAGCCTGGTAGAATATTCTTCCCGGCTCCCAGCGGAGAGAAACAAAGGATCCGGACTGATACCGTGCCCTGCTGTCGTGAGGTCACCCGAGGGCGGCCACCTTCCCCTTTATTAGCAGAGTTCTGCTTTCCTCGTCGCAGCTTAGACAGTGCCTTCTCCGTCTTTGCTTCTCATAGCGAGTGTGCTGGAATCCACCCTCTTCCCTTCCGTGCAGAAGAAATTCTGGGTGCAGCTTCCCGGAAGCTCGAATGTCTTGCAGTATGACTTTCATAGAGGACTCTACCATGTCTGTGTGGTGGAGGCCGCACTTTCACCATCCACCCTTTCCTGAGAAAAGACTTTTGGGTGGTGCTTTTGTTTCACTGAAAATGGTTCATTCGGTCCTCTGAAATCGCACACAGTTTTCTTTGTATGCGAAATGAAACGTGCGTCTCCTGATTTTGGGGGATGGGGTGGAACGGTACCACATGTCTGTTGGGGTTTATGTGTGTGCGTGTGTGACTTGCAGACCTGTTTTCCTCTTTCCTGTCCAAGATTCCAATCTTTCTGGATTTGATTTTTTTTTCATGGCATACAAGGTGTGTAGTTGTGTAGCACTTAATTCTTGCAACGCTGAAAAAAAATCTTTTTTTAAACAAAAAATTCTGGTTGTATGAGACAATGTGGGGAATGGGAAGCGATGTAGAAATGGCTGCATAAAATGAAAAGCAAGAAGTTGGCACAGGACGTTCTGTATCTGTGATTTATTTTTATTTTTTTCATTTTGGTTTTTAATCAACTGAGCCCTTTAAAAGAATATATTTGCTAACAGAGGTGAAAATTCTGGTTTGGATGCTGTTGCGAAACGATGCTTTGGTGCAGCATCAACCAAGGAGCCTCCAGATGAGTCTCGAGCGTTCACCAAGTCTGCAAGAGGATCTCAGAAGTCTGTCCCACTTCCTGAAGCGTGTCTGTGTGTCCGTCTGTCAGAGAGAACTTGTTGCGATTGGGCAGGAAGGTCTTCCCTAGATGAGAACTTTTTCCGCTGGCGGTTCTTGCAGAGCAGCTTGTCCACCTGCGACGAGCTGGGAAAGATATTTTGTGATGGTGTTGTCACTCTTTCCATTGGGCTTTGTTTGCCACATTGGCCTCTTGGCGTTCCAGGGATGGGGGCTACAGAGCCCCCTCCACCTCAGCCACTCTTTCGGGAGAGGGGTGCCGAGAAAGGGATGGTATAATGCTAAGGGCGATCTGTTGAATTTCATCGGAATATTTGGCATATAAGGAAGTGGGAAACGTTGGCTAGCAATCTAGCTTGGCCTGGGCAGCGACGGGCCGACTCCATGAGGAGGGCATTGTGCTCTGGCCACCCCAGTGCTGGAGTGGTGTGTGCAGAGAGAGATGAAAGGCCCGTCCCCAATTCTTCAGGTGGGTTGGCCCGCCCGGTTTGTGCCTTGTTCAGGGCACGGACATTCAGCAGCATCCCTCCTGCTCCACCTCCTCGATTCCTTTTTCCTCGGGCAGATCTGGCCCCTACCAGAAATGCACCCGCCACCAGCCTTCACATGCTCCGAAGCCTCTGGCTGGTAGGAAGAAGGCCTGTATCACTTTTCCCAGCAACCAAGAAATGGTCCACGATCGACCGAGGGTGGCAAGTCCAGATGCTGAAGGCAGTTGCTGCCACAGCTGCCCAGAAGCTTCTGCCACCAGAGGACTCCTGTGCAGCAGCTTCTGGGCATCCCAGACAATTCTTCCCTGTTCTGATCGTTCGAGCAAAGCCTCTTTTGGGATCGTTTTGTGGGATGGGCTGAGCAAGACACCTGGCTTGCGAGCTACAGGAGTGGACTGTCGTTTTGCGGTTGGGCTGAAGTAGGCAAGTCTGCTTGCGGTGGGTGAACTGCTGAAGTCGGGTCTGAGGAACTGGGCAAGCCATTTCAGAGGGAAGAGAATTCTTGTTTTAATTTTATTATTAGGAAATTGCATATATGGTCATCCGGTCATGTTAATGGCTTTCTGGTCTCATTACTGTGAGTGGTTCCCTTTTTCTAGTGTGTAGTTAATGGCTCCCAAATGATTGTGTGTGTGTGTACGTGTGCGCGCATCTCGGCTGGATTCTTCCATTCCTCCCCACTGTGTAAGGATGGGCCGAACTCCACAATAAAATCTATGAAATGAACTTAAATTTCTAATAGAAGGCTCCTTTTTGTAAGTAGAAAGAAAGACGAAAGCGTCATGTTTGCAGAGATGTTGTTGGCCTGTTACTCATTCTTTGGGGTTCAGTGTGACTCTCCTGAGGACCAGGGCAGAAGAGAAACAGGTCTTGAAAGAGGTGGTGATTAATGAATGCCAAAGTACCAGATGCTGCATCATTTCTGCAGCTCAGCAGATGTTGCCTTCCTCCCTCTGGGATGGCAAAGCCCTACCTGTCAAACCACTTCCTTATTTTTTAAGAGTGAAGTAGGCAGGGAAAGTCTTCCTAGCCAGCAACTTCCCCAGGGAGAAGGGTACTGTGCCTTTTATTCTGTCATGCCCGTCCGTCATCAAAAGAGAAGTTACAGATTGGTGTGTGAAACAGCAGGCGTTTCTCTCTTGCTACTCCAGGGATCAGATGGGATGAAGGTCTTTCTGCAGATGCTCAAAAGCCTGCTGAGCAAAGTTAACTAGGAAGTCTAGGCGGTGGGGAGGTTTACCCAAAGAGTGGGAATCAGATCTATATCGGACATAAATAAGCTTCAGATTGTACAAGCTTCCACAAAATTCCCAAGACAAACTGCACATTTAGCTCTGCCAAAATAAACAACTGATGAGCTTGTGTTGCTTGTTGAGATTTTTCAGTTAATGGGTTGCCTTTCAGGTAAAAGCTTCAAAAATAATTTGGGGCTCAGTCCTACACATTTAGGTAGAGAAGAAGGCGCAAGCGGCCAGCGTGCTCCAGCCAGCCCAGTTGGGGCTCGTTTTCCCTGGTCAGAGGATGCTGAGAGTTGTAGGATGCATCTGCCTAAGGATGCCAGCCGTCCTTGTGCCCTGAATTTTATTTAATTACTCAGATGGTTTGGGCCATCCTATGACAGATACTTGCTTTAATCTCTGTGCAGCAATTAAAACTAACCCAATGATGGTGTGAAACTAAAATCAGCGAATGTGGTATCGCTATCAAATAATGGTTGACCTAGGAGTGGGAAGGCCCAGGTCTTCACATCCTTATTTGACTGCGACATTGAATGGCTCTCTCAGCCTAACCTACTTCACAGGGATGGTTTTATTCCATGTATTTTATTCTTTGTTGTCAATTTCACCAAAATGCCATCTAACCTCCCAACAATTGCCTGAAAGATAATCCCACCCAAATGTAACCCTTTCCGATACATCTACATTTATATTCTTATTTATGTATCGATTAACATAAGCTTCAACAAATATCCATATATATGCCCATCTAAGAAGTATCTGTCATCAACTCAAATACTGAAAGCACTGTTAGACTGTCCGTCCATTTACTCATCAAAGGTGAGCCTTTTCTGACACTGCACTGAGTTTATCTGCCAAAGGAACCCATTTGGGTTAACCAGGCTTTTAAGTTTTGGGAGCCACGAACCAGCCAGGCCTTCCACCCTAGATCGCCACCTCGATGACGCCTTCACCTGTTGAACTCCTGTCTGCTGGGCTGCTAAAAATCAGCTGGGATGCGTGGCCTTCCGAGTGCTTGGGACTACCACTCCCATGCGCCCTGGCCATTACTTACCCTGGCTGGATTGCAGAATTGCCGCTCTAGCGATGGGCGCTGTACCTGCCTGAACGCGCCCCGCTTCTCCCCCGCGGGCTTCCGACAGCAGGCGTGCAGTCCCGCCCTGGCCCAAGAGGGGGCGGGCTTGCGCTAGCAGCGCGTCCGCAGCCGCGCCGCGCCGCCTTCCCGCTCCACCAGGGGGCGCCGCCGGGCCGCTCCGCCGCCGCTTGCATTTCTTCGCGCTGCCCTGCGAACCTGCCGCACTTGCCTCTCGGCCCGAGAACCCCGGCAAGAAGCTCCGCCGAGCAGCTACCTGCCGGCGCCGCCCCGGCCCACCTGCGGAGCAGCGCGCGGCGCAGGATCGCGGCGAAGTTTTGCGCGGGGAGGGGAGGGGCGGGGAGGCACTGGCCCACCCCCCTCGCTCGCCCCCGGGGCCACCCGCTCGGGGCAGCGCGCCGCGCCCTCGGAGGGCTTGTGGCCTCGGCGGGTTTGCACCTGCGCGACTCGCCGGGCGCCGCGGAGGAGCGGCGGGCGAGGCCGGCAGCGACCTTCCACCATGGTGAGTGCGTTGCCCGCTCCTCGGGAGTGACGTCGGGGGCCTCTAGGGGGCCCGCCGGCTCGGTCGCCGCGGCAAGGCGACCCCAGGCGGCGGAGGCCCGGGGACCGTGCGCGCCGGGGGCCTCCGCGGCCGGCTCAGGTGTGCTGGCGGGGCGCGTCCTGCCGCGCGTGCCCTCCGTGGGCCGAGTGGAAGCCGAGCGCTCCTCCAGGAAGTTGGCCCGGCGGCTGCCGCCTGGGCGCCTCTTGCTCAACAGTCCTGCATGTTTTGAAATCGGGTGAAAGCCCGGCCGTCGCGGGGCCGGTGTGGGGCGCTCGGACCGGGCAAAGTTCGTGTGCGCAAGCGAGGCGGTGGGGCCGCTGTAGGCATCAAACTAAAACCGAAGCTTCCCTACTTACATGCCTTATGAAGGAGTTGATGGTAGATTTTAGGTGCTTTGCGGTGCCATCCTATACATTTTGAGCCGGAGGAGGTGTAGGCCTCTGGTTCTGGCTCAGCCTTCCATAGGATTGCTACTTTAGAGAACGATAAAGCGAATAATAATCCGGTGGAGTTGGAGTATTGGTTGCTTTAGAAAATAAAACACTACCATTTTTTAAAAAGCAGCCATAAGGAAAACTCTCAGATCCATAAAATGTGCTAATAGTCTGAACTCAGACATCACTTCATAGCATGCAAAAGTTGGCTTCATTTGATGGTTGGGTTAGGGTTAACATTACAAGACTCAAAAATGTAGAAGAGAAAATTATCAGCCCAGTAAAAGCTCTCTTAGACAAAGAGGTTCCCAGAAATTGAGGATGATAAGAGAAGATAGTTAACTCTAGAGACCTACAGTGTGGGAGAGTAAAGGCTGATCAAACGCAGCTTTAATAAAAAGGACATTTTCAGCCTTCTCAAGCAGTTAAGGATAATACAATGAACTTGGGCTCTTCCGCCTGGACCAGAAGAGCTGGAAGTCTGGGGAACATGGGCCGCGAGGGGCTGTTGCGCTCACTGATTCATCCATAGGATTAATGGCAACCATTTGACTGGGTCGCTGGGTCCCTGCTGGGTCCCTGTTAGCGCTCAGGCCCATCTCAACACCCGCTCAGAGACCCTGCAGAAGGATCTGCTCTCCCAGAACATGTCTGGCTTTGGGTGGGTCTCTGACATCTCGGGATCCTTTGCAGTGCAACCCGGGGCACAGCCCAGCATTAAGCCTCTAACTGAATGACTGGACTTACAGCCCCCCCCCCCCCCCGGCCTTCCCCTCCAGCCTTAGTAAATCAGAAGCTGGGAGACTTTTGGCTTTGCATGTAGCCCAGATGGAGCAAAAGCGCGACAGGGGATTCTGTAGGGTGTTCTGAAGACCTGAAGTGCAACCAGACCCTGGCTGGATTCAGACAACAGAATAACCCTCACCGAAGGGATGCGAATGGGTTCGTTGTGGCTTGTTGTTGAATCGTGACTTAGCGTGTTGTTTGGACCCAGCTGTGTGAACAAACCGATTGATTGATTGATTGATTGCATTTATATACCACCCCAATAGCCCAGAGGGCTCTCTGGGTGGTTTACAAACCATGATTTCTTAACCATGAACCACCCATGAAGAGAACCCAGTTTGTTTTTAAGTCCTGAACTCTGTGTTGTTTGCAGTGAACAAACCTTGGCTTGTCTGGATGGAAGGGGTTGTTCCACGGCAAAGGCTGCTTGGGCGGCTGCAGGGAGCACCTTTCCTTCCCTGAATTTATGGGATTGATGCCTCTCCCTGTGATCCGCACTGAGGCTCTCGGTGCAGATCACAGCCCTGCGTGTTTATAGGCTGGAGGTGTTGACGCTCTTCCAGAGGGCGAAGCCCCTGGGCACAGCCTTCCCCCAGCTGACACCAGCCACGGGTGGGAGACGGTATCGGGTGGGAGACGGTGTCAGCAACCGGTTCCACGCCATGACCTTTCCTTTGTGTGGCTTCCTCCTGCCTGGATCTAGCTCCGTTTCAGCTGACTCTGCCAGCTGGGCTAATGTTTAACTCCTCTCGGTTGTCATTTTGATGGGGCGTGGGGCGTGGGGGGGAGCGGTCTGACAAAGCTGCCCTGCCTAGCCTAGCCAGCTCAGCCCACCCTGGCAGAATTGGACAGGATGGGGCATGAGACAGGCCTCTGGAATGCCTGCCCTGGGGCAGAATCCAGCTCTCGCCTCCTCGCTGTGGTACATTTCCATTCACCCTTCACGTGCTCCTTTGGGGAGGCGCCCCTGCGGAGCTGCGAGGGTGTTCCTTGGGTGCCAGCCCCCAGAGTGGCTGGCATGGATTCAGTGGCAAATATCCAAAGTGGGGGCGCACCTTGCGGCAGCCCCCATGGCCTCCCGAGTCCAGAACTGCAGGCAGCTGCTGTGCTGAGCTGTATCTACATGCCCGCTCGGGCAGCGTTTGCAGCGCAGAGGGGCCGTGGCGGCTCCTTCAGGGCCAGGCCCCCAAACATATCAAAATACCAAGCCATGGATTGGATCACTCCACTGGATCTGCCTAACATGGCTCCTCTGGAGCTGCACGTGCAAATTTGGAAATAATGATCCTAACGTTGGTTTTTAATATATAGATAGGTGCTTCTGCATATATCCATCGTAATGAATGTGCACGAAAAGCACAGATACGGAAATGCAGCTTTCTAATTAGGATGCAGAGGCTTCAATGGCAGCAAGACAAGTCTCCGAATCTGCGTTCATTTGAAGGCGGTGTCTCTCGGCTACTTGTTCAAACGTCGAAAGCATTATAAAGTGCTCGGTGCTTTGCATCACAGGAGGTGACCGCTTCTGTGTGCAGTATTGTGACATCAGCCTTTGATCTCTCATGAGGACTGAGAGCATCCATTCCCCTCCCATGGGTTGGTTATATCCCACCCAGCACGTCAGTAATTGTAAGGGCTGAACAGTATTCCAGTGAATATTAAAACTGCTCCAATATAAAATTTATCCGTACAGTAACCTCCCCCCCAGAAGAAGCAAGTGGATACTGCCAGAATGTCTGTTTCAATGAGCCTTGGCTGTGGGGCTCCATCAGCAATTAGCCAAATTAGGCAATCCCTTAGGAAAGAGGCCGTGCCGTCCAATAGGCACAAACAGATGCTTTTGCTGAATTCGCCGCAGGATCCAGGGAAGCGGCAATGGGGATGCCAAAGCAGTGATTCATTCATGAAACAGAATAGGGCGATCCAGTTTCCCATTCTCCTCTTGCTTCAACTGTGGCGTGCCAGAATTCTTCACCAATAACAGGAATGCACAGGCAGGAATTGTGGTTGGCTTCGCCTGTCCGTAGCTTAACCAGAAGGACTGGGGTCCTGCTCTGGTGGGGAAGGGCCAGGAGGCCTGGCTCTCTGGCCTGCTCTGCCTGGTGCCAAGGACCAGCTCCCGGGGGGTGTGCAGCGTGAGGGGCTTGGCTCCCAATTCCTGCTGTGCGCCCTTCCCTGTTGGATTGGACGGGGGTGTGCTCCTTTCTGAGAGCTTTCCTGGTTGGCTTCTGTGCTGCATTTGTATCTGCCCATTTTCCTGTTGCACGATCCCCTTCCTCTCCTTTTAACCTGATAGCAACCCTGTGAGGTACATCCAGCTGGTAGTTGCCTGGCCCCAACTCAGCTTCATGGCCGAGTGGGGATTCGAACTCAGCTCGCCCAGCTCCTCAGTTCAACCTTTTGACCACTGTCTCACACAGTACTGCCTTCCTCCCCTCTCCGCATTCAAGCCCACCAGCCGCGAGGAGTAACACCACACCGATAGAAAATGCAGGGAAATGCATGAAAGGAGAAAGGCAGATCGAGACAATCAAAAGAACAGCACTGCTAAGCCAGGTAAAACCTTGTGTGAGGCTCCATCAGCCAGCCAAGCTGACTAAACCAGTGGATAAATAAATGCATCCGATGGCATGAGATGCACCAGCCTGGAGCTTAAGGGAGTAATTCCATCCTACCGGAAGAGTCTGCCCGTGCTTGTCTCTCACTCTCAGGGTAATGACTTGCGCAGAAGCACCAGGAGCTGGCTTGCGCTCCAGCTGTGTTTTTTCGTGTTGCTTGCTCGCTCCATTTAAAAGCAGACGTTGGAGAACCAGCTCATGTTTGGACCTTGCGATGCAGAATTGAGCCTGGAGCCAGACTGCCAAGCATTATCCTGATATCCCAAGCTTTCTCGGAGGTCTCGTCGTGAGAAGAGGCCCCTGGAATGCCGACCCACCTTAGCTAAGCTGAATGCAACTTAAGTGCAGAGTTATTGGGAAAACCGTGTTGCAAAAAAGCGGAACTGGTGTACAATGGAGGAATTTCTGCTCCGTGCTGGCTTTTTGGTGCAGACGCTTTTGGAATAATGTAGTAGCCGAGGGTTGTATTCTAAGGTGCCAGCCCACCTCTGACTTTGGCGGAAGCCCTGCCAGTCACCCACTCCTGGAAGTGGCTGGGTTAACCTGTGTGCTGCAGTTTGGCAACGGCAGGTGTGAATGCCCCTTCTGCTGGCTGGCTGTCCCCGAACAATCGTGCAGGTGAGGCAGGAGCTGGCCCAGCAGATAAGCCCTGCCTGCCTTCCGTTCGTGCAGAAAGGACGTTTTGAAGCTCTGGAGTACCTTTTGTGCCATTCCCAATCGATTTTGCAAACCAAGCTTGAAATCGCAAAACGGGAGTGACTCTGGAAAGTTCCTGAAAGTTTTCTGCTGTCTGAAGCACAGGGGAAGCGTTTTTCTCTCTCCTCTGGTATCCCAATCACATTTTCCTCTCCGCTTTCCGGGTGGGAATCTTGAAGGAACCCAACCCTAGTTAACAGTCGAAAGTTGTTGGACAGGCTGGTTTTGCAACCGATACAGGGCAAGTTTCCGCACCTGGGCAGGGCAGCCGTGCAAGGCGCAAAAAATAAATAAAAAAGTGGGTGAGGTTGATTAGCCTGAAGGAAAGAAACTGGGTAGGCCTGGAGTGAGGGGGTGGAAGGAAGCTTCCTGCATGGAGTGGGACAGCCTGTTCGTCCAAAGGGGTTTGCATGAGATCGTGCCCTGAATTCCCAGTGTAGGAGGCGCCAGGACCTGCATGGGCCCCTCTGCTGCAGGATACTCTCCCAAGCATTTGAGGGAATAAGGCTATTTAGCAAAGAGCCCATGGGGGGATTTTCCGTCAGTCCATCCCCGGTATGCCACTGACTCCAATCGGGCTTCCTCCCAGCCAGGTCTGCATAGGTTCTGCCATCCAGTTGAATATTCAGCCGTAATCCTGTGCTCCTTTACCTGGAGTAAGATGCGTCTACTCAGGAGGAAGTCCTATTGGGCTCAGCATCTCTAGGGCTGTGCTATTAACCGTTTAGATTCCATCTCCAAATGTTTTTGGATCCCAGCTCCCATCAGTCACAGGAAGCTTGGCCAGTGGATAATGGGAGTTGAAGTACGGCAATACCGCAATGCCTCAAGCCCCCCCGTCTAAATAAAATTCCTTTTCCTGCAGCTGATATTTCAGTTAGTGAAATGTTTGTGAGTGTGTTACCTGGATAACTTTCGTGTTTCCATTTATGAATGGAATTGTTGATGGTTTTGAAAATACGCTTAGGCAAATTCTAAACTGACAGGGAAAGGTATTCTTTAAAGGATGTTTGTAATTAGTTGATTCTGGCTAGGAGGGAACGCCGTCTGGTTAAGCTGCGCAAGGAAAGGCCACTGAAGACACATTAAGCCAGGAAAAGTGGCCTCCAATTAATAACATGACCATAACAATGAGATTAGACAGACAGCTATTAGAAGGATGGGTGGAACTGCACACAGGGGCAGCCCTGCTGTGGCTGATGGGCCACGTGGCAAACAGGCCATTGCCCGCTCCCGAACAACGTCGAGGAGGAGATGTCCTGTGAGACCGAGGCAGTCCATAAGCACACTGGCTATTTATTGACCTGCTGATTGTGCTCATATCCCGCATTTTTTCCTGGAAGCAGGCCCAGCTGACCTACAAAACCCTCTTGCTTCGCCTCTCCGGTTTTATCTGCACAACAGCCCTGTGAGGTAGCCTAGCCTGAGAGGCCAGGGCTGCGCCAGTCACCCGGGGGGCTCCATGTGGACTGGGGATCAGGAACGGGATCTCCCAGTCCCCAGTGCGGTGCCCTTAGTGGCTGCAGCACACCAGTTCTTTGTTTAAGCCGCATGGAGTGTGGAATGTTCTGGAAGCATTGAGCTGGAGTGCTCGACGTAGGGCGGTCCCTTTGCCGTGGATCTGACAGGCCACACGATTCGCTGCAGCAAGGATGGCTGGGGAGGCCAGGAAGTGCACCAATTGAGGGTGAAGGGACCCAAAACCGGAGGTTAAGTTTAGGGGACGTGCCTGAGAAGCAAGGGGAGCACAGAAGACCGCTCCAGTTTCCACTTGGCCTGGTCGAGGAAGCCGAGCGGCTGGAAACCAGACTCGCCTCCGGATCGTGCACGGTCCTCCCCATCTTTGCCCCATTTCGGAGGGGGCGTCTGCAGCCCTTCCACAACCCTTGCTGGGACCGGAGCACATGTGGGGGAGCCCCCCTTCGGTGCCCCACTGAGAGGGTCTTTCTCCGGCATGCCCATCCTCCCTCTGCCCCCTTTTCTCTTCCTCCCTGTCCGGGCATGTCGCCTGGCAACCGGCAGCCGGCATTGTCTTCGCGGCTTGGGAGGAATGGACCCTTAGCAACCGGCCTTTTCTCTCCTTTGCAAAAATTTGGAGAGAGAGACAGAGAGAGAGAGAGAGAGAGAGAGGAAGGAAAAGACCACCCATGTTCGTGGAGCGAGAGAGATTTGCAGGCCCCGGATTCGGTAGACGAAGAGGGAAGAAGGAATTAGAAATGCCACTGTCTGGTACACCTCCAGCAAGAATTCAACCGTGGGCTTAGCGGAGATGCCGGGCAGCTCTTTGCAAAGGGCTGCAAGCAAGCTGCGCTCATGTCAGGTTCCTCTCCGAGAGGGAAATCAGCAGCTAAATAACGAGACTGTGTATGTTGCTCCGTAGCAACGTCGCCCTGCTCTTCAGCCAAAAGGGCCCGTTGAGGGCTGCAGGTTACTTGAGGTGCGATCAAAATGTGGCCACTCGTCGGTCAGCGAACATTTCTCGAGAACCACGCGCGACCGTCTCCGCTTCACTGAGGAAGTTGCAGAAGTGTGGGCGAAGCAGCAGCTGCTTTGGCTGAGCACTGGCCCGTGCTGGCGGTGGGACTGTTGGCTGTGGCAGGCAGAGTCTCACGGACCTCCGCGTCCTCGCCGCGATCAGCCACCCATTCACGCACCAGCTCTGCAGCATCCGACCGCGTGAAACGGCCCCCGGGTTGCGTGCTGGGCACTCAAAGGATGCCGCTCAGCCCCTTTTCCAGTCCTTCAGTTCTGCTTTTCTATACACATTTCTTGCATCGTGTTCCAATTCTGAGAAGAACTTACGAAGAGCCGTGCTGGAGCAGGCTGAAAAGGTTCATCTAACCCAGCAGCCAGCGGCTCAAGCAGGATGGGTGCGTGAGTTCCCCCTGCCCAAGCTCCCCAGCAACGGGCCGATCGAGCCATGGTGGTGGCACCTCGCCAAGCAAGGCCAGTAGTAGCCACTCTTGGCCTCCTCCTTTCCTGAAATTTTGCCCAGTCCACTCCGAGGGCTGTCCAAATGGGCAGCTGCCACTCCACCCCCCGTGCGTCGGTTTCTTTCTGGCCCTTTCCTGCCCGCTTAATCTCCTGTGCGGCTTTGCAGTGCTTTGGCACGCCCCGTTCTCCTTCGCCGTGCCGGAGGGCAGCCCGCGTGTTGACCTGGGCCGCCATCTTGCTTTCGCCTCCGCAGGGGAGCAAGGAGCGCTACCACTGGCAGACGCAGAACGTCAAGCAGAGCGGGGTGGACGACATGGTGCTCCTCTCCAAGATCAGCGAGGACGCCATCGTGGAGAACCTCAAGAAGCGGTTCATGGATGACTTCATCTTTGTATCCCTTGCCAGGTCTGGGGTGGTGCCCACTCGCTCTTTGGGCTGGGGCAGAGGCCGCAGGCTCGGTGCTTTTCCTGACCCAGAAAGGCACTTACACGATTTGGAGCACGGCCGCCTCGGACACAAAGCCACTTCAAGGTTGTCGGTGCTGATTTGCACACGTGCACAGAGATATTTACATATGTAAATTGGTCACTTACTAGGCTCTAAGTTCCACAGGAGGCCAATATAATTTCCCACCCAATTCAGATAAATAAATTTGCAGCTCAGCCTAGATCACAAACCAGCTGCAGTCCCCACTTTGCATATGGCCATTACACGGAGGCGTCGTCTTAAATTAGCATCCCCAGATGAGCAGGATGATGGGAAATAGGTTTAGGCCTTGGCCCCATGCAGCAGGCGTCTCTTCCTGGGCACTCACTTTTGGGGGCTTTTCAACCTCATCTTCCTCCGGGACAGAAATTAAAAGATGCTGCCGGATGCGGAGTTGCAGGGTGGACAAACAGATGGGGACCCCTTTATGCTCCTGGGACCCCACATGAGCCTTCTCCAGGCCGTGCCCCCCAGATGCATTGTTCTATAACCCCCATCATTTTCCATGCAGCAGTGCTAGACAATGATGGGACCTGTAGTTCAACAAGTTGAAGAAAGCCGGTTTTGTCTGATAACAGCTTCAAGCCGCTTCATTCCCGTTGGCCTCCTGCGTGCCCCTGGCCCCAGTGCCGAAATTGCCAGTGGAGACCTCACGGCTAACAGTGAGCCCCAGGAAGAGGTGCTGGGCGTTCGTGGCTATTTGAAACTGGTCTGTCCTGATTTTGTTTCTTGACCCTTATCTTGGAAAACGAAAAGACCTACATTGGCCCAGTCCTGATTTCTGTTAACCCCTTCAAGCAGCTGCCATACTTCACTGACCGCGAGATCGACATGTACCAGGGCGCGGTAAGTGCTGCGTGACTGCAAATGCTGGTGGCTGAGGCAGCAAGCCTCGGAGGATGTGCAGAGTCCCCCCGCCCCCAAGAAAAATACCTTTTTGCTTCCCAAAAGGACAGAGCATGTCAGAATGTGTGCAAAGTGACTTTCTAAGGGGATGGCCCCTTCTGTCCCGTCCCATCCCTGGTGGAGTAGCCAGGGCCAGGGCTGAGCCACGGGGACAAAGTCCAGGGGCCACCCAGAGAGCATCAGGGGAGCAGAAGCAGCCCCCGTTTACTCCTGTGGCTGCGATGGTGCTGTGATTTCAGGGAGTCCAAAACATGGCTAGCCAACAGTTCCGTTGTGGTTCTAAGTTATGTCAGACATGTAGCAGCAGCTGGAAAACTTGGACAGCTGTGCAGATACGAAGAAATCTGCCTCTCCATGCAAAGCAATCCCCCCAAGACCGTTAAGCCGGGGTCCAGAATAACCACCTGGGCAACTGGTATTTTCGGGCTCTTACTTAGCAGGCTGCTGCACCCGGAGTTGGGTGGGAGGCGGGTGTTACCTGCCCTGCGGTCATTCCCGGGGGCTCAGGCCGGGGGGGCCCTTTCCGGCTTGGTGCCCCGGACGCTTCTGACACACGAGGCCAGCCTTTAACCCCCGCACACTAACTGCAGGATCGTGGCCTCCAGAAAGCAAGCGTCGCGTGCTTGCGGCGCTTTGGAATAGGGGCCAGCCGGCAGGGGAGGATGGGACTTGCAGTCGCCGGAGCGCTGGTGGCTTCCCCGGGCTCGGCGCCTCTGCGGAAAGGGGCCTGCGCTGCCGCTGCGTCAGGAGCCGGGCAGCGCTCGGTGACGTCGCGGGCGGGGCGGGGCGGGCGGGGCCGGGCCAGCCAATCCGAGGGGCCGCGCCGGCCCCGCCCCGCCCGCCCCTGCCTCGCTGCGCGGCTGCCCCCTAGTGGCCGGTGGGCGCTCGCTCGCTCGCTCGCCAGCGACGGCGGGCCCGGGGTCTCCCCTCTGCAGCCCCTGGGGGAGCCTGCGCTGCTCCCGCTTGCCTGCCCGCCCTTCCCTCGGCTCTTCCTCGCTTGCTGGGTTCCTTCCTGCCAGCCCCTCCGTGCTCGGGGAGGCACCTTGTGTGTCCGCGGCAGTGCATTGAAAAAGTCGGGGGTCCGGTTGGGGTCCGGCCTCCCGCGCAAGAGGGCCTCGCAGGGGGGAAGAGGCGCCGAGCCCCAGCTTCGCGCTGGAGAGCCGACCCCTGCAGCCTTGCTCCCTGCAGCATCCTCTCTCTAAGGCTGCGATGATACTGACGAAGCAAACACGGTTGTTATTATTATTATTATTATTATTATTATTATTATTATTATTACATTTCTATGCCGCCCCTTGCCGAAGCCTCGGGGCGGCTTACAACACAAGGACCAGTCTGGCCCCTGGCCGAAGGTTCCGGCTTCTGTGGGTTGAGCACAAGGGAGAATTTCCCCAGAGGCCGCTGGGCCCGTCCAGGCGGCGCATAGCGGCCCTGGCCTAGAGCAGGCAGGTCTGAGACTCGGCCCCCCATCGCCGCCACGCCGGGCGCTGAGCCAGGGGCTAACGGGGCGTGTGCGCTTACTTGGCTTCCTTCCGCAGGCCCAGTATGAAAACCCTCCCCACATATATGCGCTGGCCGACAGCATGTACCGCAACATGCTGATCGACGGGGAGAAGCAGTGCGTCATCATCAGGTAATGCTGGCCCCCTGGTCTGGGGCGGGGGTGAGGGTTGCGCTGGGAAACTGAGGCAGGGAGCGGCCGTTGGGGTCACACTGTAAGCGGCACCCGTGGGGCAAGAGGCCTGGGGTGGCGGCTGAGGGAAAGGGCCCGCTGCAGTGGGCAAAATAAATTCTAGGAGAGGAGCTGCAAACAAGAGGACTAGCGCCTTAGCCGTCCTCAGCATATATTTATTTTATTTATTTATTTTTCGATTTATATCCTGCCTTCTTCCTACAAAGGGCTCAAGGCAGCGTACATCATCTATATAACAGCCCACAGCTGAATTAATCGCAGCTGGAAAGTGGCATTTCCTTGGAAATGGCCGTCCCTTTCTTCCGGAATAGTCTGCCCGTCTATTCCCACCCATCAGTGCCGTTAAAACTAGTGAGACCACCTCAAGGGCCCGTTTTCCCCGCTAGGATTTTGGGCTGTGCCAACGACCTCTCCGACCGTGTTTTGATTTCTCTGTGCGCTCTTTTCCTTGCAGTGGGGAAAGTGGGGCGGGCAAGACGGTGGCAGCCAAGTTCATCATGAGCTACATCTCCAAAGTGTCCGGAGGCAGCCTCCAAGTTCAGGTAGCTGCCGTGGCCCAAGAGCAGCCGTTCTCCCCCAGGTGCACGTGATGGGTGCACGTCCCATCATCCCCTTGCTGTCTGGGAACGGCGGTATTGTAGTCTCGCATGTCTGATGAGCACCTGGTTGGGGAAGGTTAACTTTAAGAAGCCCCCTCCCCCCAGATATGCTGGTTTGGTGGTGGAGGAGCACTGAGACGGGCTCTCGGAGGCTCTGCGTGGTGGTGGGAAAGATGCAGCGCCAGCTTAGCTGCTTCCATTTTCTTTCCAGCATGTGAAGGATATTATCTTGAAGTCCAACCCGCTCCTGGAGGCGTTTGGGAATGCCAAGACAGTGCGGAACAACAATTCCAGTCGATTTGTGAGTGTTGGGCATCCACAGCTTGGCGGGGGGGTGTTGAGAGGTGTGTATTTCAGCAGATCCTTAAGCCTTCTAGCCATCTGATGAACTCGCCATGAGCTTTGTGTCATTTCTGATTTCATAAGGGCTAGGAACTTGGCACACTCCATAAATAAGAACAAATGGAGATGGTTGGGAACCGTCACTCTAACCCTATCACATATGTTTGGTGTTTCTGAATTCTGCATTATCTGGGGAGGGCGTGCAGCTCTGTTGTGAGGGGGGGGTCCTAATGATATCCTGGTCCAATTTGCTCCTTAGGGCAAGTATTTTGAGATCCAGTTCAGCCGTGGCGGAGAACCAGACGGAGGCAAGATCTTCAACTTCCTGCTGGAGAAATCCCGCGTGGTTAACCAGAACGCAGGAGAGAGAAACTTCCACATTTATTACCAGGTGGGTCTGTTACAGGTTTGGGGGGGGGGGCAGAGCAGGTCATGCCCCGAGGGGCCCTGAGGGGACCTGGCTGGCCTTGGCATTTGGCAGTGCCTGCTTTGGGGCAGCTCCCACGGGGCCGGCACGCTCGCCCTCGGCCTGCCTCGCAGGGCTGTGGCAAGGGTCACTGGGCAAAGTAGAGCGCATGCACCTGACCGAGCCCCCCCTCCTTCCCTGTCTTGGACTCGCCCCAGCTGCTGGAGGGAGCCAGTCCGGAGCAGCGGGAAGAGCTGGGCATCACCAGTCCCGACTATTACTACTACCTCAACCAGTCGGCGGCCTACAAGGTGGACGACCTGGATGACCGCCAGGAGTTCCAGGAGACTTTGGTATGGCACAGCGCCCGCGAGGAGGGTGGGGAGCCCAGCCCCTGCTGCGGGGTTTCCCTCCCTCACTGCCTTCCCCGCCCCACCCGAGCCCCCTCGGGACCGGTGGCACTCAAGCCCGCAAGAACTGTCCCCTTGCTGAGTGCAGGGGCGCTTGGTTGTGCCCACAGTTGCAAAACGGAAGCGGGTGCCCTTCCCAGAAGCACTCTGCATAGCCTCAGGGGCACCCGATCCTGCATTTAAAGGACGGCGCTGCCGAGCTGCGGCCTCCAAAGAGGCCGGGGGCAACTCGAGGCACGACGCTGGAACTAGTTGTGCAGTCCAGCTACGAGGGAGGCCCGTCTTTGGGCGTGACGCGCAGCAGGGGCGGCCCTTCGAAGCGGCCCTCGCCCCGCAACCCCGCGTGGGGCACGTGGGAAGGGCCTTCCTCGGCGTCGCTTCCGCGGCACGTTCCCTCTGGCTCCCTTCGCCGTCGGCCAGAAGAGGGCCCGGATGTGGCTTTTTACATTGTCGGCATGGTGTTCAAGTCTGTTAGAAAACAAGCAGATCCCGGACTTTGATTTTGTTGTGGTTTTTACTGCCTCTCCGCTTTGTAACCTGCCTTGGTTGGCATCAGAAGGAGGCACCGAGGTGCAGGGACTAAACAGAAACGGACCGATGGGTAAAAGAACGGGAAATGCGGCAGGGGCGGGGGGCAGAGCCGGCCGTCCCTGCGGCCCCGTGACCCGCTGACGTGCCCCCTTTGGTGCCCGCCTCCCCCTCCCCTTCCCCACCTCCTTGTCCCCCCAGGCAGCCATGGAGGTGGTGGGGCTCTCGGGGGAAGAGCAGGCCTTGGTGCTGCAGATGGTGGCCGGCATCCTGCACCTGGGCAACATCACCTTCCGGGAGTCGGGCAACTACGCCGTGGTGGAGAGCGAGGACTGTGAGTGCAGGGCGTGCCGAGGGGACCTGGGCTTGGGGGCAGCGGCCGCCCCGGGGCCGGGCGCTTGCAGAGTGGCGCTTGTGCGTCGGGCCGGAAAGAGGGTGGCGCTGTGGCGGGGCGGCGGTGGGGGAGGCTGGCGCTGACGGCCCCGCTCTCCCCCAGTCCTGGCGTTCCCTGCCTACCTCCTGGCCATCGACCAGCAGCGCCTCAGGGAGAAGCTGACCAGCCGCAAGATGGACAGCAGGTGGGGCGGGAGGCAGGAGGTCATCGACGTGACGCTGAACGTGGAGCAGGCCAGCTTCACCCGCGACGCCCTGTCCAAGGCCCTCTACACCCGCCTCTTCGACTACCTGGTGGACGTGAGTGTCCCGCCGGGCCGGGGCTGCAGGCGCCCTCGGTGGAGGGACCGACCCCGCTGCTTCCGGCTGCGGGGGGAGATTCCACTGCATTAATTTGGGAATCGAAAGCGGGCGTTCCCTGCAGGCCAGAAACAAGCACAGGAAAGAGTGAGAACACTCCTTCTGATGCGTGCGCTTGCTCTTTGCGCGCCATTTTTAAAGCTTCTTGGAAATGGGGGTCCCATTCCAAACTCAGGCTAATTTTCCTTGACCAACTGCGGGACACATTTGGCAGTCGGGTTCACGAGATCTCTCTCTCCCCCTTCCTTTCCTCCTCGGTCCACTCTTTTATTTATTTTCCTTCTTCGTGCGTTCCTCCTTGCTTCTGCTTGCGCATCTGAAACCTTCCGCCTCCCTCTTCCCCTCCTTTGCCCAGGCCGTCAACAAAGCCATGCAGAAGGACCACCAGGAGTTCAGCATTGGTGTCCTGGACATCTACGGCTTTGAGATCTTCCAGGTAAATTCCCGGAGACACAGGGCCCCGTCTCCTGAGGAACTGCGTGGTGCAGCCGCTGCCGATTCCCACGGGCCTCACTTGGGGAATTGCACCTTAGATCGTTTTCCCACAGAATCTTTCTTGTGAACAGTACAAGAGAGAGAGACTTGCTGGGCTGAGAGCTATCGCTCCGCTGGCTTAAGTCCTGTCTTGGGATGCCGTCCTCTGCCCGTGTAGTCAAAAGCCGACCTGCAACTCGCATCCCGCCGGCTGGTGCGGCTGGTGATTTGCTCCTTCTCTCCTCCCTGCCTTCCCTTTATCCCTGCAGAAGAACGGCTTTGAACAGTTCTGCATCAATTTCGTGAACGAGAAGCTGCAGCAGATCTTCATTGAGCTGACGCTTAAGGCGGAACAGGTGGGGGCTGCCAGGCGGTTGTGTGTTTGAGCCGAGCGCACATGGTTGTGAGTTGTGGAAACAGGGCTGCCGTTCAGAGCTCCTGGCAGGTGGATCCTGGTGAGGAGGCGCTGCTCCCGGTGAGGCGCCGTCTTTGGTCTGAGCGGCTCCGAAAGCGGGTGTGGGGGTGCTCTGTGCGGCAAGGGCCGATCCGGGCGCAAGTGTGCAGCCGGGTTTTCCGAATTGTGGTGCTGGATTAGGTCTGGAGACAGACCCCTGCGTGCCGGGCGTGCATTGAAGCAGAGCCCAGCTGGGGCAGTCATTAAGAGTGGGACGCAGGAGTTCTGGGTTCGAGTCCCCGCCTGCCACAACCCCTCAGCCCGGCCTCCCTCGCAGGGCTGTTGCTGTGAGGATGAAACGCAAGGGAAGAGGACTGTGTAAAGAGGACGGGTCCCCGCAGGAGGAAGGAAGGCAGGGGAGAATGTGAGGATGATGGTGGTGGTGGTCGCATAATGAACAGCCACGGCGTGTGGGGAAGAGGCGGTTTGGGAAGCGCTCACCTCGAGGCGAGGCGAGGAGAGGCAAAGCCGGCAGCTTTGGAGGGGCGCGTTTTCACCCGCCTGTGGGTGCAGCGTCGGCACGAGGGAACCTTGCCCAGGCCACGTGCCCGCTGCCAGCCCTCGTGCCCCTCTCGCCCGCACCCAGAGGCGCGGTCTCGGGACACAGGGAGGCTACCTTGCCGAAGGCCAGCAGCAGGGCTCCGGGGTCTGGACAAGACCCGCGCCTCTTCCCCAGCCCGTGGGGTTCCCTGTCCTCGGTTAGCCCACCTGTGCTACTCCCGCCTGCAGGAAGAGTACGTCCAGGAGGGCATCCGATGGAGCCCCATCGACTACTTCAACAACAAGGTGGTGTGTGACCTCATTGAGAACAAAGTGGTGAGTGGTGAGGGCGAGCCCCGTGGTGGCATTCTGGGAGCTGTAGTTCAGTGGCAGGGTTCCGTGGCGCACCGCCTCCTGCGCCAGGAAAGCACGCCGACCCCTGGGGTGGGGGAGCAGCTGCGCCACCAGCCTGACGCCGCACGGCGAGAAGCCGTTCTTGGGGGAGAGGAGAGAGAGACCCTCCACATGAGACCTGAATCCGCGCTGGAGGCGTGTGGTCCTGCCCAGCGCCGGGCCCCTTGCTGCTGTTTAGCGTCCTGGCATGACGCCAAGAATGGACCTTTCCCTTCCTTTTTCCTCCCTGCCCTGCAAGAACCCCCCCGGGATCATGAGCATCTTGGACGACGTGTGCGCCACGATGCACGCCAAGGGCGAGGGGGCGGACCACACGCTGCTGCAGAAGCTTCAGTCCGCGCTCGGCACCCACGCCCACTTCAACAGCTGGAACAAGGGCTTCGTCATCCACCATTATGCGGGCAAGGTAAAGGCCAGACGGGAGGGCCGAAGGAGAAGAGAGCAGACCCCTCCGGCCAGCCGAGTTTACCTTTCCAAGCCAGGGGCCCTCCAGGCGGTGCCGCTGCTGGCTGGGGATGCTGGGGGTTGCAGCCCATCCCATCTGGGAAGCGCCTGGTTGGGAAGATCGGTCCAGACGAAGCAGCCTGCTCCCGTTGCAGGTCGGCCGCAAGCCACACGCACAAGGACGGGTACGCGAAGGCGACCGTGTTCCTTGGTCGCTCGTCCTTGGTATCTGGTCATTTGTACCTGAATGTGGAGACTCTGCTTCATTATCCTGGCCAAGAGCGAGGGATGCATCTCTTCTCCCTTAATTTATATCTCATACAATGAAAACAGAGAGCGCTCTGCTCACAGCTGCCTACAGTCAGTGCTGGGCAGAAACATTGGACTGTGTACCCTTCTGCCTGATGCCTGAAGTGCCTGATCCTGCCTAATCTTGGAAGCTAAGCAGGGTCAGGCCTGGGCAGAAGTGGAATGGGTGACTTGAGTGTATGAGTCTATTGCTGTCAATTGCCTAGAGAGCTTTGGCTATAGGCAGTATAAAAATGTAATAATAATAATGCCGCAGGTTTCGTACGACGCAGATGGCTTCTGCGAACGGAACCGCGACGTCCTTTTTGCTGACCTCATCGAGCTGATGCAGAGCAGCGAGATGTGAGTGTTCCTGCGGGGTGGGGTGCTTCTCCCCTCTCGCCCCCCATGCCGCAGAAGCTTCGCTCTGTGGCCTCTCCGGCCGTGTCCGCCTCGACTGCCCTCTCATCTTCAAGAATGGGCCTTGTTCGGAGCGTGTGAAAAGCCGCAGTCAAGGCTTGAGTCATTGGGAAGAGGCAGGGAATGAATGAATGAATGAATGAATGAATGAATGAATGAATGATCTGTTGCCTGGATCTAGTCTCCGCCAGGGACAGTGCTGTGCACTGGGAGGAGTGGGCCCCCATTCCGGCTCAGCCTCAGTTACCCACATCTGTAAAATGGGACCATTCAGGAGGGACTTGCACAGCCTGGTCAGGGCTGGGATCACCAACGGCCCTTCAGTGGTGGCCCTTCCCTGCGGTTGCTCCTGGACGGCTCGGGGAAATAACGGCGGCTTCCTTTGCTGTTAAAGACCCTTCATTCGTGAGCTCTTTCCTGAGAACCTCAACGCAGAGAAGAAGGGGCGCCCCACCACCGCTGGCAGCAAGATCAAGGTACCCCGCCACAGGGCGGGTGGGACTCGGGGCGGGGTGGCTTGTGGATGCCCGTGGGGCTGGATTCTCAGCTGAACGAAATGCAGGCGCTTCTACATTCTGCCAGCCAGAAAAAGCCCATTTTCTGCCGTCTGCGCATATTTGCATGTTGGCTGTTGCAGCTGGGGCAGAGAAGGGGGTAGGAATAGCAGATATCGGTTTTTTGTAAGCTGTCCTAAGATGCTAGTGGCAGATGGGGTAGAAAAGCTGAAAATAAAATAAGATACTCAGGCCCTAGTTCTTATCACCACCCAGGGATAAATGCCGATGGATTGAAATCATTTATGTGCTGTCTTCAGAAATATACATAGACCTTCGTTCGAAGGCAGCTCCCAAGCAAGCAAAAGGAGCAACTCCGGCAATGTTGTCTTTCTTTCATGCTCACCCCCTGCCAAAAAATCAAGAAACAAGCCAACAGCCTCGTGGACACGCTGATGAAGTGCACCCCCCACTACATCCGGTGCATCAAGCCGAACGAGACCAAGCGGCCCCGCGACTGGGAGGAGAGCAGGTGGGCCCGCGGAGCGGCGCTGCGCCTGGGGTCAGGGGCTTGTCTCGTAGGCGGCCTTGTGGGGTCTGTGCGTGTGTTATTGAAACAGGACGTGCCAGCGGGGAGCTGTTGGTTCGTCTGACTCGGGGTGGGCAGCTCGCGCCTTCCATGGGCTGAGGCCTTGGGGATCCGACCCTGCGTTCTCATGCCAGGGCGCTCCGGGGCGGGTCCCACGTCCTGCTCCCCCCCCTGCTCTCCAAGTGGGATGTGGAAGAATCCCTGTCTGGTTTCCCCTCCTCCTCCCGGCCAGTGTCCAGCCCGGCCCTGGTGCTGGTGCTGGTGCTGGGGAGACACCCAGCAGCTGGGATGCTCCCACGCCCCCCACTTTCTGGCTCTCATCCAGGGTCAAGCACCAGGTGGAGTACCTGGGCCTGCGGGAGAACATCCGTGTGCGCCGAGCTGGCTATGCATACCGGCGCATCTTCCAGAAGTTCCTCCACAGGTCAGTCCTCTGGCGCTCGAGCGTCCTTCCTGACGGCGCCCGGGGAGAAGCTTTGCCAGGCAGCTCCTGTGCAGAGGACGGCTCTTGATCTGCCGGGAGTCAGCAGCGAAAGCTCTTCTCGGCAATGCGGAGGAAGGCTGGCTGCCCCCGTCACCTTGCAGGACCCGCAGACAGCCGGAGAGGGAGGACGGGCTGGCTCCAAAGGCACCGGGCCAATTCTGTCTCCCCCTCCCCGCACGCAGGTACGCCATCCTCACCCCGGAGACGTGGCCTTCCTGGCGGGGGGATGAAAGGCAGGGCGTGGTGCACCTGATGAAGTCGGTCAACATGGACCCCGACCAGTACCAGCTGGGCCACACTAAGGTCTTCATCAAGGCCCCGGAATCGGTGAGCGCCAGAGACCGGGGGTCCTCTCCTTTTCTGTCCTTCGCGTGTCTCTTCTCCCCCAAAAACCTTTCACTGAGTTGGGGTGGAAGGGAGGGGCTCAGCGAGCGGGGCTGATGCATGTCGTGCCATGCCCTGGCATTAAACTTTTTCACCCATACACTAAAAAGTCAGCACGCCTCTTGCCTGCTCCGAATCGGAGAGCATTTTTTAAAACATGATAGGCACGCACCCATGTTGATTGGAGCCAGGAAAATGCCGCCACCTGCTCTTCCTCCTGGGCTCCCTGTGCCGGGAGCGTCCCGGCACGCCGGCCACGCATAACGTCCCCCTCTCTTCCTCCCCCGTCCGGCGTCTCCAGCTGTTCCTGCTGGAGGAGATGCGGGAGCGGCGTTACGACGGCTACGCCCGCGTCATCCAGAAGGCCTGGCGCAAGCACGTGGCCGTCCGGAAGTACATCCAGATGCGGGAGGAAGGTGAGCCGAGCGCCCCCCTCTCCTGGGCCGATGCAGCTTCGGGGGTGGGGGAGCCCTTGCAGCACCAGGCTGGGGGTCCCACCAACGGTTGAGGGAGGAGCTGCGTCGCCGGCTGGGCCGCGGTCGTCCAGCCCTTCCCTTCCCAAGTCCCCTTGAAGTCGCCCTCCCCTGGGGGTGCCAGACCGTGCCCAGAGGTGGCTGCTCCCCGGCGGCTCTGCCAGGGCCCCACTGCTCTGCGCAGGAGTAACTCTGGCCCCCGCTTGTGGAGTTATTCTTCGCTTAGCTCTCCTGGCCGATGTGGCGCGTCCGGACAGCGTCACAGCCGGGCCTTGCTCCCTAGCGCGGTTCTACATGGCAATTAGGCAGCAGCCTGCCATGCCAATGCTGGGGTCACGGGCAGGTTGCCCCCACTTTTTCTGAGCAGACCCCCTGTTTCTGGGACGCTCTGGGCAGCTGGGCGAATGCTGCTGTGAAAAGGGAGAGGGGGCTGGCCTTTCCTTTTTCCGTCGAGCGGGACTTGCTTCATCCCGGGTCCCTTTCTTTGGCACCGCGGAGTTTGACCCCTGCGAGGCCCAAATTCACCGCTGGAAAGCGCTGCCTGGGCTCCTGCAAGGATGCCTTCCCCACGCGGCCAATGCCCGGCTGCCGGAACTAGCCCCGGGCTCGCCATCCCTGCCCGTCTCTTCTGCAGCTTCCAACATCGTCTTGAACAAGAAGGAGCGGCGCCGGAACAGCATCAACCGCAACTTCATGGGCGACTACATCGGCCTGGAGAGCTGCCCCGAGCTGCGGCGGTTCGTCGGCCGGCGGGAGCGCGTCGACTTCGCCGAGACGGTGGTCAAGTACGACCGGCGCTTCAAGGTGAGCCGCGGGGTTCTTCCCTGCTCGCAGCGGCCGTGCCCGGCCAGGCCCCCGTCCTGGGGTGTCTTCTTCCTTTCGCAATGAGCGTTTCCCGGAACCTGTGGCTCCACGATGGCGCTTTGTCGCTCCTCTGCAGACGGTGAAGCGAGACCTGATCCTGACCCCGAAATTCCTCTACCTGATCGGCCGTGAGAAGGTCAAGCAAGGGCCGGATAAAGGGGCCGTGAGGGAAGTCCTGAAGCGGCAGATTGAGGTGGAGCGGATCCAGTCGGTGTCCCTGAGGTGAGCCACTGCAGGCGTGGGGGGGGGGTGTGCCCCCGGCTGCTCCACCCTCCCCAGGGTGCCTGGAGCCTGCACTGGCCCTTGCCCGGCACAGCCCAGCCAGCGGGGCTTCCTCCACCTCCGCTCCGAAGGCTTTCGTTCCGTCGGGCAGCTTTCCTTTACTGGGAAAGCAAAATGGCGGGAAGCGCGTCCCGAGAACCCGGGAGCGGGACTGGGGAGAGGCTGCTTCCGGCCCCCGCAGCGAGGCGTTCTCTGGATGAGCTGCCCCACTCCCCGCCCTTCTTCTCCCATTGTCCCCAGAGTGGGAACCACACGGCCTGAGCTGCTCACACAGAAACGGAGCAAGTCAGAAGGGGCCTCCTGAGCCATCTAGTCTGACCCCCAGCTCCAGGCAGGCCCACTCATGACATGCCTGCCATGTGCCTGTCCTGGAACACCCTCACCGGGGGGCCTCAACCACCTCCCAAGAAGCCCGTTCCATGCACAGCCTTTAAGCCCCCCATCCAGACTTCAACCAGGCCTGATCCTGCTTAGCTTCCAAGATCAGGCAGGATCAGGCACCTCCGGCTATATGGGAGCTGCAGAGGAGCCCCACTTGATTTCGCAGGAGCGAACCCCCCGGTGCCGTCTCGGGGCTCCCCAGGATCAGTGGCCTGCCAGTGGCACTCAGAGAGGCCCCCGTGACATCAGGCCCTACTGGAGGCAGTGGGAAAACCGGGAATGGGCGGGGGAGGGGCCTGCCCAGGTCCTTATCCTGATCCGTGTTCCCCTTCCCTCCCGCAAGCACCCTGCAGGACGACTTCATCATCCTGCACGAGCCCCATTACGACAGTGTCCTGGAGTCCGTCTTCAAGACGGAGCTGCTGAGTTTGCTCTGCAGGCGCTATGAGGAGAAGACACAGAAGCAGCTGCCGGTCAAGTTCAGCAACCAGTAAGCCCCCCGCAGGGAGCGTGCTCCGCGCCTGCCGGACGGCGGTGCGGCCCCCTTCTGCGCCAGGCTCTCCCGCCGTTGGCCGGGGCCTCTGCCTGGCAAGCCCCCCAGAAGGCACGGGGCCGCCGCTGCTCCACGCGCCCGCCGGCACGTCCGGTCCCTCCCTCGGAGGCGTCCGCAGGGGACCTGCTAGTCCGGCCAGGCAGCGGCTGGCTGGCTCCCGGGCCGCCCAGATTGCCCTCGGAGGCGCTGCGGCACGTGGCCCTCGGAAGCGCCGAGAGGGTGTGGGGCCACAGCCAGTCCCGTCCCCTTCCCATAACGCCCTGCCACTCTCCGCTTCCTTCCCGCAAGGCTGGAGTTCAAGGTGAAGAAGGACGGCTGGGGGCCCTGGGGCGCCGCCGGCTCCCGGCAGATACAGTTCCAGATCTGCCAAGGGGACGTGGCTCTGCTGCGCAACAACGGCAAGGTGCTGGTGGTCAGCATCGGGCCTGGCCTGCCCCGAAACGCCCGTGAGTCCGGGGCCCCTCGCTGGGGCAGGGGCGGGACGGGGCAGGGAGCTGCTGAGGGAGGGCCGGTCGCCCCCATCACCCAGCAGCGGCCGGCGAGAGCGACGAAATGCCGGCCGCGTGCGTCAGGGTGTTGCAGAAGGAGCTGTGGCCTCAGACAGTAACGCTGCCGGCGTTGCAGCGAAGGGCCCCGCGACCTCGCTGGCACTTTGCTGTGCCGCACCAGGGGCTGGATTGGCCCGGGACCTCTGGACCAGGGCCTGAACTTCCGGAAGCCCTTTGCCCCGCCACCCACAACCCGGGCAGGTATCAGGGCTCTGTCACAGCTATACAGTTCCCCTCTTGTGCTGACCGGCCAGGGCATGACAAAATGGCCAGCTCGCTGCCGCAGGACGAGGAGCTGCTTCGAAAGGGAACGGCGTCTGGGGCTGCCCCCTCCTCTGCTGGGGAGGGACGCCCTCGCTCTGGGAGCTGACCTCAGCCCTCCGATTTCAGGGCCGACCCGGAAAGACACCAGGAAGAGCCGCTGCCAGGGCGGGGGCACCACCTTGGGCTGGAGCACCCCCAGCAGTGCAGGTACGCCAGGGCTTACCGGGGGCTCGGCGGAGGGGGTGGCGTGGAGGGGCTGTCCTGCTGCGTCCCTCCTTCGCAACCAGGCCCCAAGCCAGGCAGTGCTGCCTTTTCCAGGCCCCGATTGAGACCAGCTCCCCCGTGGACCAGGCTGCCGCAAGGGCCCTTCCCGCTCCCTTGGGGTCCTGCCCACCTGCCCAGACAGGCCTTGCAGGCGCCGCTTGGGTGTCCCGTGGCAGAAACGGTCGGGCCGGCAAGGACGGGAGAGGCCTTCTTGGTCGCGGGGCGATTCAGGCTTGGCCGCTTCAGCACAGGCCTCGGCGCTCGCCTCTTCGCAGCATCTTTTCCGTAAGGGGGTGCGGGTCCCGTGGGGTTCACAAGACGCCGCCCCAAGCTGCCTCAGCCACGGTTTGTGCAGCCTCGCTTCCCACCCAAGGGTTGCTCCCCAGGTGGCCGCCGACAGCCGAGGGGCCAGGCAACCCGGGTGGGCAAGCGCGCAGAGCAGCGCCCGCCCACCGGTGCCGTGTGGTCTCTTTCTCCCGCCAGGCTCGAAGTGGGGTGCCCGTGGTGGCGGCGGCGGCGGCACGGGGGCGCACCCCCCCTTCCAGCACCGCCTCTCCATGACCAGGCAGACCAGCACGGAGCAGCCCAGCCTGCCCCGCCAGGGCGCCAGTCCCAGGGCCAGGGCCTTCCCGGCACCACTCAACCTGGATTTCATGAATGTCCCCGACCAAGGAGTAGCTGGGTGAGCGAGCTGTGCGGGGGCACCTTTCGGATGCCGCGGATCGGCCCCAGACACGTCCTGCCCAGACTCCCCCCCCCCCCCCCCCGACGCTAGATCCCGTCTCTTCTCCGTGAACACGTCGTCTCTCGCGGTCGCTTCTGCCAGCTTTCCGGCTTCGGGAGGCGTCCGGTGGGCAGTCCGGCCGGTAGGGACTGCTGGAGGAGGCGCTTTTCCTCGGCCTTGCTCCCGTCCCGCTGCTTCGCTGAGACTGGGCGCCTCCGCCCACCGGTCGCTTCCCACCCCGCACTGAAGGGACTGGCCCCCATTTTGCCCTCTGTCCTCCCCAGGATCCAGCGGCGCCTCTCCAAGGAGGTCAAGCCCATCCCAGGAGGGGGCCGCGCCAAGCCCACGCCCAAGCCCAAGCCCCAGCCGCGGCTCCCCCAGTGCCGAGCGCTGTACGCCTACGATGCGCAGGACACGGATGAGCTGAGCTTCAACGCCAACGATGTCATTGAAATCGTCAAGGAGGGTAAGCTGGGGCGGGCATGTTTCTGTGGGGAGGGGAGGGGAGGGCCAAGGACCCGCTGGGGGGCTTCCCACAGGGCGTTGGCCTTGAGCCTGTCTTGGGTGACTGGGCAGAGCCTCCACGTCCAGGAGCAGTATACGTGATGAGGGAAATTGCAGTGGTTCTGCCCTTAGTCAGGACTTCCAGCAGCGGCCCAAGACTGATGCATCATCGCAACAGTTTCCGTCCTTTCACTTGCCCTGCACACCACGATCCGGGCAGCCTTGCTCGTGATCCCTCTTGGCGCAGCAGGCGCCAAGGTTGCCAGCAGCACGGTCAGTGCTTCAGAGCACCTCCGTCTTCTTCCTCCGTTCAGACCCTTCCGGCTGGTGGCACGGCCGCATCCGTGGCAAGGAAGGCTTGTTCCCGGGAAATTACGTGGAGAAAATATGAGCCAGCAGGACGCTGCTGCCGACGCTCGTCAGGATTGCGCCGAGGGGTGGGTGGAGGCCGTCCCCCAGGGCTGCTCACCAGCTGCTCTGGACTTCTCCTTGAGGCTGGAAGACCCCAGAGCCACCCCGGAAGAAGCTGCAGGCTGCAGAAGGGCCTCCTGCCCGAGGGAGCGTCTTTGAGGCTGGCACTGGTGGGAATCAGGTTAGCGCGATGCCTTAAAATCCCAAGGAAGCAGCCAGGATGAAACACCTGCCTTCCCTTCTGTTGTGAAAGGACACATGATGTTTATTTTGCCTATTAACAGTGTCCCACTACCTTAAAAGCCATGGCAGCAAATGCTTGTCCGCCAGATGTCTGAGATCAGGCGTACAGAGACAAGCCTGGCTTTTACTTGTACTCGTGGCAGAGTCTATCTGTTATCAAAATAGTGCCAAGCCCAAGCTGCTAGACGAAAAATGGGTTTCATAAGAGAAGTTTTAAAAAGCCTTTAGCCAACGCTGGCAAAAAAATAAATTATTTTCTCTACTGTACAGAGGGCGGGCAGTGCTTTCTGCATGTGTGCACAGAATTCACGTGTCATGGGTTTTTCCTGCGAAGACAGCCCCACAGGTCAAGCAGCTGCAGTGACAAAGGTCTGGACGTGGACTTTTAGTAGGAAGAGGGAACACACAGCCTGCAAATTAGGTTCTTGAAGAATCTATAGATTTTATCTATAGGCACATTTTTGTGGAAGGAGGATGCAGGTTGGCCTTCTCTAGAAAAAGAATCTGCAGTGAATGTTCTTTCAATTCACATGTGGCGTTTGCAGACCGAGGGCTGCCTTGCTGGCCACCGGTTCGGGTGGGTCGTCGGCCTGCACCACATGATGGCTCTGCTCAGTTCCCTGGGGAGGAAAAACACAGGCTGCCTCCGAACCTCCATTTATTTGCAAATATGTGAGGGCTGATTTGCTGAATATGGGAAGTTTCTTGACAGATTTGATCATGGAAAGCATTGGCTTTGTGGACATCATCCCTTGCTTGGATTTTAGCAGATGTAACTTGAGGAAGTACATCGGCTCTCCGTGGTGAAACAGCAGTTAGCATTCCAGATCCAAACTAGAGTCAGATATCAAAATTGACCAAAATAATCATGGGCTTTGAAGGAACCCTCTTCTGTCCACAGAATGGCTTAAAATGGCTTTTCTGGTTAAAAACCATACACACAAACCAGCCAAGCAGAGGCCAGAATAAGAGAGGGGGGTGTGGTGGTGTGGGGAAAGGGGGTTACAGCCTGTCCCTTTTAATTCTGGGACTTAGGCTTACTCAACAAAATTGATTAGCGGTTGATTCTCAGGACAGGCAAAATGAATGTATGATGGCTGGGGATGAGGGGAATTGCAGTCTGGCACATGGGGGGGGGGTCACCTAGTTGGCATTGCCCTGGAGCAGGCGAGCTCTTGGTCTCACCCAAGTGCTCTGTTCTCCTGTAAGCTAACACATCGAAATGCTAAATCAAATGTTATCAAATTACAAATACAGATACCAAATATTCAGAAAATAGCATTTCGCAACGAAAGTGCCAGAGCAGAATTTAAAGAAATCTGCATTTTGTGCCTCTCTGCCAGCAGTGTGTTGGACCCTGCTTGGAAGTCAAAGGTGCAGGATTAGTTTGAGTCAAGACCAGCTCGGGAAGGGGGTTAAACCACTATAAGTTTTAATAGCATTATTTCTACAGCAAAAGGAGTTACCTGAGAGACTTTTTCAGTGATCCATTTTTTTTAATGTAGCATAATATTCAGTTCACAGTCGTGACCCCCGCCCCAGCCCCTCACTGCCCTCCGTTTTTCACCCGCTAGAAAACAAATATACAGAATTCATAGTCTCTTTTTGTTTCTTTAAAAAAAAAACACCCACAAAATATACCTAAAGGCACTGAAGTGCGTGCAAGGAAAACAAAAAATAATAAAAGGTTTGGAATCCAATCATCAGTAATTACAAAGCAATTGCTTCTTTCCTGCAGCCTTAAAACATAGAAATTTCTATGAAACATCATTTACATTTTCTGCTAACTTTTTAAAATCTTTTTCTTTAAATTAAAAAAGGGCGAGTTCAGCAGGTATGAATCAATAGGTGGTTTATGGTAACAAGAGTCGTCGGGAGTGGGACTGAGAGAGGCGGCGCAGGACCACACTGGAGATTGTAATGAGAGTTAAGGATAGTTTATGTAGTCGCGGAAAAGGAGCGCTGCTTCATGGGTTGCGATTCTGCTCTGGCAAAGCTTCCCTGCAAAGCCGCCCCACTGAAAATCAAGACGGTCTGCCAGCTCTGATTAGGCGGCTGAGACGGTTGGCTTCCTACGTCGCCACTCTTTCCCGGTTTGGTTCTCTAGAAGAGGGGCCCCGTCGCCGTTCCCCGTCCCTGCCTTGCCAAGACAGAGGGGAAGATGCAGGGCAGAGCTGGGGGCCTTTCCTGCCCCTCTGTGCCAAGTCCTGCGCAGATGGCCGTGGGACTCCCCCACGTGGCCTCCGACCCAGCCCAGGGATACCAGGCTGAGCGCAGCAAGCCCACCAGGCACAAATCTTGGCCAAGTCTTGCTGGACGGGGGCATCCTGGACAGCGGTGGGGGCGGGGGGTGGATTCCTGGCCCAACCGCACCCCAGTCCCCCCTCCGTCTCCCACGACTGGCTGCAGGGGGAGGGCTCCCCATCTCTTGTGCCTCTTCGCCCTTCAGCCGCTCCCAGAGGGGATGCATTTAATCCGGTCTGCCGGTTTTGGGTAGAGGAGGAGACTCCGTGCTAACTACTCGCAGAGCATGGGGAGCGAGAGTCGGGAAGGGTGGGTTTCTCGTCGCTCGGTTCCTGTGGTCAGGCACCTCCTAGCAAGGCCCTGGGGGTGTTGTCTGCCGGGTGCCCAGCCTCCCTCCAGCCCCCGTCTCTCCAAGCAGCCAGAAAAGCTGGACTTACTACAGACGGGCGGCCTTTCCCAGGCTGATCCCAGCTTGCGAGCTCCGATTCCCTCCGCTGGCTGGCTGCTGTTACTTTCTTGGCTGCGGTGAGGAACGGGCGCCGCGAGGTTAAACGTAGTGTTGCAGCCCCATTCTGGGAACGCACAGCAACCCGGTGCCACACCAGCACACTGACTCGGGTCTCTGCAATGCTCGTTTCTGGCTATGGGGAAATCAGAGGGCCACCCCACCGGTTTCAGAGGACGGCTGCCTTTCAAAATAGCCATTCCTGCTGATAGATTCACATCAGGCTGTACAGGAAATGTAAACCGGTCAAAATTTTTAGGTAAAGTGTGCAAGCCGGCAGATCTTACACAGTTGGGCTGTGTGTTTGGTCACAGCTGTTAGGCCCAAAACAGGGCCAGCTGTGCTTCGGGTTTCCACTTGGTGGTGGATCGTTAGCACGGAGGAATGGCCACTGCCCTTCTGAAGGGGAAAAGGGGATTCTGGTCACTCCGAGCCAACCTGTACTTGGGAATAATGGGGGTTTTTACGAGCGGGCTGTGGGAGGGAACAGATGCTTATGGGATAGGCTGTGCGCCATCAACAATATCCAGCCTTTCCTTTTCCAAGATGACACAAAGAGTCAACAAAAGAATCGAACATACAGCAGCGTGTCCCATGGGCTATGTTGTCTGGCTGCTAGGTAATGGAAGCCACGTACTGCGAACACACTGGCTAGGAGGGAAATTTCGCCGCATGCTGTGGCTGCTGCTTCCCAGCGGACGGAGGCGGCACTGGGAGCGAATCAAACCGAGGGCAGCAGCCAGCAGTCGTCCCACCTCCTCCCACAGGGCCCTCCATCCACTTCCAGGTGCGTCCTTTATACAACCCAACACCTAGGAGTAAGATCAGGGGAATCAACACTAAACAGTGAGCTCTACCTTGTAGCAGCTTTATATCAACTGTCACCCTCCCTTCTGAACATGCATAATACACAGTGATAACTTCTTTTCCTTACCTACTTTTTTGGTATGTCACTGATATGTGATTAAAAAAAAAAAAACAGTAAAAAGAAATGCTGACCCCACCCCTCTTTAGCCCCCTTTACTCTAACCATTTGCCAAATAGAAAACGGCCTCTAAACGAGTACTAGGAGCGTGACTATTTTCAGAAATAAGAAGTTGCAACAGTCATAGGACTGTTTGCTTTTTCAAAAGTTGCGTGTTACAAGATTTATTCAAAGGACACATGGTTGCATTAGTGATGAGTCAAAAACAAACGAAAATCAAATTACTAAAATAATCACTTGTGCACAAAGGAAAGAGATCGGCAGAAGATGCTCGCTCCGGCCCCAAACTGGAATCCCACGTTCCGGACATGATTTCATGGGGCGCATGGAGGGAAGGTTAAAATACGAACAGACACCTTTCCAAGCCATTATCCAAATCTGAAGGTCAACACTGGTTAGGATCAAAGGGTGGGCGGGTGGGTGGGCGTGGGGTGCCAATTTTGCCAGATTTTGGTCACATGATCTAGGAATGCTTGTCCGCCAGTAATAAAAGGGAAGCAGGGTTGGGGAGGTGGCGGCGACAGGAGGGAAAGGGCGTCATGGGGACTCGAAGCCACGATGAGTGAGCGGCAGGCGATGGCCCCTCTGGACGACGGCCCTCGCCCTTCCGCAAGGCCGGCTGCAGGAGGGGGGAAGACGGGAGCCCCAGGAGGGGGCAAAGCACCGTTTGCCAAGAAGCCGCCTAGGGCACCAGGCAGGTGTGAGCGAGCGCGGGCAGGTCTGCTCAGTGGAAGAGACGCTCCCCGTGGCCAGCGCTAGATGAGGGCGCCCCCAGTCCCCGGCATTCGGAACAAGGGCCTATGCCCTGCTCTCCAGGACGCGTTGCACTGATTTCAAGCGCCGCTCTCTGAGGGTACGTGCAACGTGGGGGGTGAGGGACTGAAGGGCACCGGGGCAGCCACCTCCCCCACGCAGGGGGTCTATTCTGGCCTCAAACCAGTTCAGACTACAGGAAAAAGCCCCTGCTACAAAATCCTCCCCCACCGAGGATGCGGGATGCGAAGTCACGGCTGCCTGTCGTGGGGCACACCGAGCTGAGCACCCGCACCTTTTGCTGTCACCCGAAACGGAGCGGACTCGCCAGCCAAGCTACGCCCCTCTGTCGACACTCCGAAGCCCTCCAGAGTCCACCGCTCCTGTCCAGAGCAGGCCGCAGCTGGCGGAGCTTGCAGCCCCCAGGCCTACTGCTGATGGAGGACCCCCATCTGGTCGGCATGGTGGACCCCCTTCCCCCCAAGGCTCTGGGGTGGGGTGGAGTCAGACAAACGATTTCCTGCCAACACCACCTTGGAGCGGGCTGGCCTTCCCCATCCCTGCAGCAGAGGGAACGCCCAGCCCTCCTGTAAACCGGCTTCTCCCAACTCTCCACTGGGCCAGACCACAAACCCCACCAACACGGCCATGAATGCCGGGAGCTGTTCAGAGCATCTGGGGGCTGGGAAAGGGTGCCCAACATACAGCAAAGCAAGTCATCTGTAACTGGACCCACTCGGAAAGCTCTTCTGGGTATTCAGGGGGTCGCTGCTGCCCACACACGGCTTCTCCCCAGCTTCCTACAAGCGGAGGCGATGGTACGGCAGGCAGGGTTGCCAAGAGCTGGGAGTTACTAACCTGGTCGCAGCTTAGCCCCCTCAAACCTGGCACCCCACAGGTGTGTGCGGCTGCAATAGGATGGGAGTTTCATTCAGACACCTTCTGAAGGACTGCTAGTGGACAGAGGCTGAGAAGGTGTGATCCGGCACCTGGAAGTTGCCACAGGAGGGACTGGGAGTCAACAATACCAAGGCTGCAGAAACTGGGGAGTTCTCTTCTGGTCTACCTTATGGAATGGCTCGGGAAGTTTGGTAAAAACATACAAAAGGAATCGGGCTTTTCTGATAATAGGTGAAGAAGGAAGAACAATTCTTTTGCGGCATCAAAGAAGTAGCCCACCCTTTTGACGGAGCGAAGGAGTGGAAAACCATCACCTGCAGCAAAGTGACGCGTGAGAACGGGCCGGGGGGGGGGGGGGCACCAGAGAAGCAAGACTGGTGTTACGGAGCCTCTGACAGGAAAGGACAGGAAGAAAGGAAAGACGCTTCTACCGTAAGATGCAGTTCCCCGCAACACGAGACACGGCGAGGTGGGTGAGGCAGCTGCTCCAACAGCACCTGGCCGTGCTACCTGGGGCTAGGCGGGGTGAACAAGGAGGCGAAGAACACCCTCCGTGGCATTATCTGTCGTGGGGCAACGAACAGACCCGAAGGCGGCCGCCTCACCCTGGCACCCTCCAGCTGCGCTCCTGAAATCCCCCGGCGAGCAGAGCGGGAAGATACCGGGCTGAGGGAGGCTGACTCGTTCCTGGTGAGGAACGGCGCGGGCATGAAGTCTGTACAGCTGCGCTGAGGCCCTGGGGATAATCCCCACCCGCTGGGCTTGCCCTCTGGCGGGGCTCAGAGTCCGCTTCCTGAGTGCTGCGAGGCTGGCTGGCTGCCTGCGTGCCCTCCTTCCCACTGCCGCGCGACCTTCGCCAACTGAATCCCCAAGGAGTAAAACAAAACAAAACAAAGGAAACGGGTAAGAGCCGCACCTGGCAAGGTGAGGCCTTGGCGCCAAGATGCCCACAACCAGAGCAGCCGAGCGAGGATTGCAAACAGCCTTCCCCCAAAAGCCCGCCCCGCGTCCCTCGCCATCGTCACGGCTTCCTCAACCCAACCTGTGAAGAAGTGCGGGGGCACGGAAGACTCCCCACGGCCTGGCCCGGCCCGGGCCTCGTCGTCCCGCTGTGGATAAAGCGGGGGCACCGCTCGCCGCGCCGGCCGGCTAGTTCTCGGCCCCCACGTTCTGCCGGGCTTTGATGAAGGCCATCCCGTGGGTGCGGAAGTGAGTCTTGAGGTTGAGCTGGGTGTCGAAGCCCTTGCCGCAGACCGTGCAGGAGAGCTTCCCTTCGGCGGCCGAGGGAGAGCCCCCCTCGGGGTTGCCCCGGGAGCCGCCGTCCTCCGCCTCGCCGGCCCCCCGCCTCTTCTTGTGAGTGATGAAGCGGTGGCGGCTCAGGGAGACCTGCGAGGTGAAGCAGAGGCCGCACTCGCGACACTGGTGGGCGCTGGCGCCTGTCCTGTGCTGGGGGATGTGCTCCTGGAAGTCGGCGGCCGAGGAGGCCACGTAACCACACTTGTGGCAGTGGTGGGGAGACTTCCGGTCGCCTTTGTGGGTCTTGGAGGGCGGGGTGCTGCTGTCGGGCTCCTCGCTGCACGAGTCCCCTTCGTCGGAGGAGAGCTTGTGCTTCCGGCTCGATGCCTGTGGGGCGGGGGAAGAAGAACGGGGGGTTTGAATGCGCCGGATCCTGCGTGCTGAAGGGGTGACCCCGCTTCCCCGTGCAGACACGACTGGCCGCAGCGACTTTCCCTACGGTAGGACAGCGGCTGGATTCTCGTCCTCAGGAACAGGAGGCGAGGAAAGAGCCCTGGGATGCGAGCGGCAAAGGTTCAGAAACCAGAATGCAACTAACCCCTCAGGGTGCCAAGAACGCCGAGACGCACCGTGTCAGGTGTGAACTCGCGATGGCATGATTCCCCCGCCCACTGTTCTCTCAAGCTGCCCCCACTGCCCTGCCTATTCCACGCTGCCCCCTCGGCTAGCCTTCACCTGGAGCAGCCTATCCTTTGCTCGTCCTTTGTCCCGCGAATCTGCCACTGCTGATCACCCAACACAGTGAACTTCAACTCTATTCTGAGCCACAGGTTACTAGCCCTCATTGTTGCAGAGGAAAACTTCTGACCTGCCACGAGCAAAAGAAATGTTATGCTAACCAGGCCGGCATCTGCAACCCTGCCCTTTCCTCTCACATCACCCTCAGAAGTACTCCAAGCGCCATTAAATGAATTTAATCTGAGAATGGAAGGGTCCCCGATCCAAGCGCCCCTCTGTGAAGGAGTGTGCCAAGCTTTGAGCGCCGAATGGACTGGAAATTACAAACGGAGCCATGGAGGAAACGGAGTTTCCCGTCCAGTTCAGTTCAGGTTCTTACTGCAGCGTTCCAGGTCTCCCGGCCAGGGGAAGGGCCTCCCGGACACGGCCCCTGTACCTGTGAGTTCCTGGAGCCCATGCGGGTGATGAGTACCTCCTGGCTCCGGGTCTCGTCGGTCACTTTGATGCCGTGACGCACTTGGATGTGCTTCTCGAGGATCAGGCGGCTGCTGAACGTGCGCTTGCCTTCCGTGCAGTACCTGGGGAGCGGAGTGGGGAGATGGGGACATCAGCCGAACAGCCGAAGGCATCCCGGCCGAGAAGCGGCAGCCCCGGGCCCCCTTCGCAGCACACGGCCGCTCCGCAGAGCACACGGAGCGACGCTGAGCATCCGCCCTGCAGCCCCAGCCCTCCATTCCCCCCATGGACCAGCCGAGTAAGGGGCCCCCGGACCCACACGGGCCGGGGCTTACGTGGGTATCGCGCAGCCAGCGATGTGAGCTGGGCGAGGGCTGATACAGCCTTCCCCAACCCAGGGCCGTCAAGACTCCTATCAGCCATTACTGTACTGGCTGGGGGAAATGGGAACTGTAGTCCAACATAACTGGAGGACGTCACACGAGGGATGACGAGCCTGCGGCCGCTGCTAGTATCCGAGCCACATTCACGTTGCTAACTGAGACTTCCGGTGTGGGAGGAAACCAGTTTCTAATTTTTTTAACCAGCTCCCAGCTCTCATGGGGACAAAAACAGGCTTGAAACCCTATTGAAAAGGTTTGAGGACCCCTGGGTAAGAGCTTCAGTTAAATACCTAACTTAGGGAGTTCTACAACTCCCGTACAGAGTTCAGGGTACTTAGAAACTCGCTTTCCTTGCACCCAAGCAGCCCCCAAACAACAATCCCTGTCATCCAGATAGTGGAAATGCCCTCGGGGCATTCCAGTTCCACCCCCTGCCAGCGCTTCCAAGAACTGCCCCCAAATTTGCTGAAATCCTAGCCCTGGGGCAGCCGAATCAGCATCACGAAATCGGGCGCCACACACCCCCTGACACACGGTCGGCCCGTACCTGCAGGGGTAGACGCGTTTGATGCCCTCGTGGTTCACCCGGACGTGTCTCCGGAGGCTGGGAGCGGAGCAGAAGGAGCGCTCACAGAGGCGGCACGGGAACTTCTTCACACACTGTCTCGGTCGGAGGAGGAAGAGGAGGAGGAGGAAACGCACCGAGTGAGTTACCGTCCCCAAGCTCAGCCCCCCGCAACGCATCTGTCCAGCGAGAGGCCCAGGCCCGCAGCCCTGCAGAGGGTCCGCCCTGCCCTGGCCCATGCCGCGCCTCTCTCCCCCTCCCCACTTTTCGGCACCTTGGCCTCTTCCTCCCCTTCTCACTCCGCTGCTTTCCATCCCCCTCCCAGTTTGCGATGATACTCAAGTACTGCAGATGCTTCAGCATTAAAAAAAAAAACCGTGGTGAATGGAGACGCATCGGTGGCTACCAAGAAAAGCTCGTGGTTTGGACCGCAGAGGGCAGAAGGAAAGCGGCCTGTGCCCTCCATGGGTCAGACTGGGCCGGTGTTGCCGCAAGGGAGCCCCATCTGTTCCCCCCCACCCAGGGCCCCCTCCCCACCCTCTGAGAAGCCCCGAGTCAGCCTGCAATCCAAAACTGCCAAGCAGCACGGCCGTCGCTCGATTCCATGCTCAAGCTATGCCCCGAGCCTCGCTTCAAGCCGGCGCTCGCCGACGTGGGCCTGCCCAGGGTTCCGGCACCTCTGACGCCGCCCCCCCCCCCCGGGGTCTCCCCAGCATCGCCTGCTCCCGCCGGTGGCTTTTGGCCCTGGCTGAGACACCGCTCAGCAGGACGGGACCCACCTTCCCCGCGGAAGGCTCTGGGTTCGGTCTGCAGGCAAGGCCAGAAAAAGCTCCTCCCTAAGACGGCCGCTCAGCGCTGACACCCTTGGGATAAAGCGGCTGGCGGAGGACCGAACGCGGGAACAAGGCCGGGGTCCTTGTCTGCCACTGCGGGGTCCCCGGGGGGGGGGCCTCCTGTCTCCCAGCCCGAGGCGCAGGCCGGGACCAGGGGTCCAGCGGGGCGCTGCCCCAGGCACCCTCACCTTCCCGTGGATCCTCTTCATGTGCACGACGTACTCGTCCCGCTCAGGGAACCACGAGTGGCAGATGCCGCACGTCCAGCCGTTGCTCCGCGAGCGCCCCCCCGCCTCGGCCTTCCGCCGGAAGCCGCCCCGCTTGCTCTTGCGCACTTCCGGGGAGCTGGGCGGGTCCTCGTCCTCCGAGGAGGAGGAGGATGGGTCCGAGAGCTTGGGGGCAGCCGGCGGGGGCTCCTCCTCGGCGGGCTCCTGCTTGGGAGTCAGCGGCGTGGCCGGGGGCTTCTTGACAGGGTCCTCTTTGGGCTTCTGGGGCTGGTGAGTGTTCTGCTCCCGAGAGGAGAGGAGAAGAGAGGAGAGGAGGCGTCAGTGGGGCAGGGCTGCCTTGGCGAGCCCCTCATTCCCAGCCCTCTTGAGATTCCATTCAGTAAAAGAACTGGAGTCACCAGGAACTCACTTGGCCTTTTCGGGGGGTCGATCGACTTGCACGGAAGCGTTTGGTGCTCAGCACCACCCATCCTGCCCACTTCCACTTGCCATGGGGCAGGGGGCAAAAGGAGGACGCAATTTCCTACCCCCAGTTGTGGGGAATAGTATGCAGATCTCTTCTGAATTCGGATAATTCAGCAAGTGCGGCCTGCACCCTTCCCTTTGCAGCAAGGAGAACCGTAACTTCACTGTTGTTTTTTTAATGAAAGCTACGATTCTTAGGAACTCGAATTCTGCAAACATTAGCTCTAAGAATCAGAAACTGTTTAGAATAATGAAAATTATGAGACAGGCATCTGCATCCTATAAAGAGTATCCTGTTTTAGGTTTTCTGGTGCTTCTCCCGTATTGCAAAATACTTAAAGTGCTAATTCCAAGCAGTCTGAAGCAGTTTGCCTGATCCGGGAAGCTATGCAGGGACGGGCCTGGTTGGAATCTGGATGGGTGACTTAATGCCGTGACCCACCTAGAGCGCTTTGGCTACAGACGCTATAGAAAAGAGGAGGAGGAGGAGGAGGAGGAGGGTCATGACTCATTCTGCCCATCTCCTCTCAGTTCTGCCGGTGGAGAGGTTCTCAAGTTTTCAAAGTCACCTTTGAAGTTTGAATTGGAGGCAGCCATGCATCCCCCTCCGAGCCAAAGGGCTGGGCTTTCAGCCTGGGCTGAAGCCACGTGAGGCATCTGCCCTGCTGAAACTAAACAGCTCTGGGGCGGCCTGAGCGTGGAGGGGAGACCACCAGGGAACCCGCGTGGCTACCTGGAGCCCCACGATGGGAGAAAGGTAGGAGATGAAAGCAGTTAATCAATTTGTAAATAAATAGAGCCATTCCCAGGGCTGGGAAGCAAGTGGTACCTGTGGCCAAGGGAGCAGAAATGGGGGGATGGAAATCCCCTTGATTCTGACCCGAACCTGCCGTGTTTGCCGCAGGCCTCACCTTGAGATGCTCCAACATCGTCCGCTTCTGGGCGAAGAGAAGGGGGCAGTCCGGGCACTTGAAGACGCTCACCCGCTGGTTGAGCAGGTGCTGGTCGAAGTGCGAGGAGAGCAGCGGCTTGTGGGTGAAGACGGTGTCGCACATGGCGCACTTGTAGATCATCCTGGGCAGGAGGAAGGGACAGTGGCGCTGGAAAGCAGGAGCCGGGCGAGGCGGGGAAGGGGGCCTGCGCGGGAAGGGGCGGCCCGCCCGCCGTGGCTCCGGAGAGACAGAGGGGGCCCTGCCTGGCGGCCGGAGGATGCCAGAGGCCAGCGGGCCACTTTGCCCACAAGACCTCCCAGGCCAGCCGTGCGCTGCCTCGAGGGGGCGCATCGCAGCCACGGAACGACTAGGTGGCTGACCCACGAAGAGGGACGGAAGCGCGCGAGAGAAGCAGAACCAGCGAGGGTTTACCGCGTACCTGGCTCTTCCTGTGGAAAGGCATTTCGCTGGCTGAAGCGACAGCTCCGGTCGCTCAGCCCGGCCGGGTGCCCGCGCCCCCCCCCCCACGCGCCCCGGCCAAGCCCACCCTCCTCGCAGCATCCGGAACGGCGCGTTGCCTGCCTGCCTCCCCTCTGCCCTGCTGCCGCCCAGAAGGGCCCCAGGGCCGCTCGCCTGCACCAGTGGGCCACAACGAGAGGGCTGCCAGAGGGGCCGGTGTGCCGGGCGGTGGCGGCAAGCGGAGCAAGGGGCGTCTGGCACCTTCATGGCGGCCCCACGTGGGACACAGCCGAACGGGGCTGCTCCACGCCAGGCGACGCCAAGGCCTTCGGGGCTCTTGGGCAGCCCGCGCCCGCCAAGACCAGTGCAGGCAGGGCGGCAGCGCGACGGGAGACTCCTGCCCCCGGCCTCCCCGCCACTTCCCCTCCGGGAGGAGGCTCGACAGCCGGGGTCAGTGGCCACTCCCATCCCACCCATCGGGACACCCCCGCTTCTCTCTCCCCAGAGCCACCTGCGCTTGCTTTGGGGTCCTTAGGAAGGAGCTGCCACCTTTCTTTCCATGTTCACTGCGAGCGAGCAGAGCTGTGACCTTCAGCAGGGAATTCGGAGGCGGGGGGCCACCCCAGGGAAGGCCCTGCCTTTGGAATCGGAGCGCAGGCCCCTGGCAGAGGGGACTACGAGCAGGGCCGTCCCCGCTAACCTCACGGCAAAGCAGTCCTTTCGCCTGTCGTGCCCGTCAGTCTCAGGGCGCCGAGCGCCAGTCTCAGGGCGACTGGAGAGGAGCCTCCACGCCAGGCGTGGGGCCGCACAGCCCCGGCCACCACCCTCCTCCGCCGCTGCAAGCCGCCTTCGTTACGCCGGCAGGGAGCCCTGGGCAGAGGTGGGGCAGCCCCCCGACTTACTTGGACTGCTGGTTGCTGAAGCCCGGGTGCTGGGTGTAGATGTGGCCGTGGGCACTGGGCGCCGACTTGAACGCCATGGGGCAGATGGGGCACTTGTGGAAGACCTCGCAGTGGGACGTCTGGATGTGGGACTTGATGGAGTTCACCCCGCCAAAGACGACCGAGCAACTTGGGCACCTGAGGGCCGGAGCAGAGAGGTCAAGGGGGCCCCACACAGCAGGGCGCCCGGGCCACCGTGGGCTTGGCACGCACGCCTCCCCAGACACCTGGGGGGGGGGACCACCCCCCTCCCCCCCAGGAGCCCGGGGCGGGGCCCCCCCCCCCCAGCAGCCCCTGCGCAGCCCAGGAAGGCTCCACTCGCGGGGGTCAAATCAGCCCCACGCTCTGCTGCGGCCATGGTGGCCCCGCATTTCCGCCCTGTCCTCTTCCTCCTGTGGGGACCCTGAGGCTTTGTTCTGTTGTCTCAGCGACAGAAAGGCCTGTGACTGGTGGGAGGAAGCACCGCGTGGGCCCCTGGCTGGAACGTCGGCATCCTTTGGCCCCGGACCCGCCAGCGTACGAAGCAGAAGACCTCCGAGAGGCCCTCTGCGCCCGGCGCACTGACGCTCTGCGACGCTGGGCCACGGGGCCGGCGACTTGGCTCGGCCCATCCCTGGCCGACCCTTGGGATCGCAGCCTTGTGCCAATTCTGTGGGGGTCCCCTACGTGCTTTTCCAGAGCGGCAGGGGAAGGAGACTCTCTGAACCGTGCCTGGGGAAGGAACTGCTCGATTCTGCTGTGCTTCCGCCCTTCTCCCGCAAAACCAGCTGGAAAAGGAGAGAGACACACGGCGAGGCGAGAGTTCCGCCCTCTTCCCACCGCCAGTCCTACTCGAGGCAGAGCGGTGAAGCTGCCCCCTCGCTGGGGCCTCGATTCAGCCCACGCTCCGCCTTTCTCCCCCCTGCACCCACCGCGGGCGAAAGGCAGAAGGGAGGAGAAAGCGGGCCGAGGCCTCCGCCGAGCCTCATTCGCTGAGCTCTCTCTGTTTCACCCGAACAGCCCCAGTACAGAACACACCAGGATTAGCGACTCCATGGGAACGAAGGCCCGGGGCACGTCCAGGTCAGCCCTTGGGTCACAGGTGCTGAGCTGGGCAGCCTGTGGCCAAGCTCCCTGCAAGGGCCGACGCACGGGCCACCTGGTCTGGAAGGCCCGCTCCCGCGGCAGGCGCTCCGGGGGCAAACAGCCCCACGCGGAGTAAGCTGCTGTCCCCCGGGAGCGGAGGGTGCGCTTCCGGCTCGGTCCGGGGCCAGGCGCCCACTTCCGTTGTCAAGCCACTGACGTGGCGGAGGGACAGCGGGGCGGCCCCTCCCCACCCTACCTGTAGCCTATCCTCCGGGAGAAGTGCAGACACGCCTCCTTCAGGTGGGCCTCGAAGCTGGGCCAGAGGAAGTTGCCGCCGCACTCCGGGCAGACGTGAGGCGGGCGGTTCTTGTGCATGCGCTGGTGCGCGCCGAAGCTGCAGCGGTTGGGCATGATCATGGGGCAGACGCTGCACACCTTTGGGGAGCAAAGCAGAGGCACACAGGCGCCGAGCGTTACTTCGATCGCGGGGGCGGGGGGGGGGGGCAGGCCGGCCCTGGGACTGGGTCTGCCCCACGGGGGTCTGCGGGGACCAGGCCCACCTGCCCTGGTCAGAGCGGGTCCCTTGCGGCGAGAGGGAATTCTGCTCCACGGCAACTCGGGGGAGTAGCGACTGCTCCGTCAGACCCACGTCGGCGAGACTTCTCCGCCCCACCGAGTGCCCCATGCAGAAGTGAACTGACCCCCGGCCCCCTACTTGAGGGGGCTGTGCAACGCCGGGAACGGATCCTGGCCCAGCCGCTGCCCATCTGCCTCGCTGCTCCAGGAAGGGGGTCCGGCGAGAGAGCCTCCCCTCCGCCCACTGCCCGCCCCAGAAGGGGCCCCGCCCCTCCCCAGGGGGCCCGGCCACTTACGGTGGAGGCGGACGACTGCTGGAAGTGCGCGGCCAGCCCGGCCTTGTCCCGGCACTGCTCCTTGCACTCCAGGCACTGGCAGGAGTTGGTGCTCGCCGGCTCGGGGGCCGCGCCGCTCAGGGGCAGGACGGGCGGCTCCTGGGGGGCGCCCCCCGCCCCGCCGGCCAGGGCCACGGCCTCCTGCGCCACCCCGGCGGCCCGGCCGGCGCCCGGCGACGCCACGGAGACCAGCGGGGCCACGTCGGGCTGGCCGACCATCTGGTCCAGCGCGATGGGCCGCATGACCAGGTGGGAGCACTGCATGACGAGCCCCTTGTCCTTGTGCTCGCGGGCGTGCAGCAGCAGGCTGCACTTGTTGAAGAAGACCAGGCGCTTGGTGCAGTGGTTGCAGGTCACCTCGATGCGCATGCTGCGCCGGTCGTAGTGCCGGGCCAGGCTCTTCTCCAGCGCGAAGGCGTCGCCGCACTCCAGGCAGCGGTAGCCGAGCGGCGGGAGCGCCAGGCTGGAGTCCGCCGGCGGCAGCAGGTTGGGCTTGTAGGTGGGCAGCAGGTTCTTGCTGTTCAGGATCCTGTTGAAGGCCTCCACCAGGCTGGACTGGCTGCGGGAGATGACCGTGCCGGCGACGGCGGGCAGCGACTTCTGCGGCTGCATCACCACCACCGTGGTGCCGTTGACCTTCTGGTTGGCCACGGCCCCGGGGCCCGGCTGGGCCGCGGGGCCGCTGGTGGCCCTGGCCTCCCCGGCTTTGGGCAGGGCCTGCGGCACCAGGCTGATGATGTTCTTGGCCACGGCCTTGCCGGGCAGCACCACGGCCTTCTGCTGGGCCACGCTGGCCGCCATGAGCATGGCGCTGCTGGCGTTCTGGATGGTGGAGGCCGGCAGCACCGTCCCCGTGATCCTGGTGCCGTCCCCCAGCTGCACGCTGACGACCTTGGGGCCCTCGAGGACCTTCCGGGGGCTCGTCGCCACCGCTCTGGGGCTGGGAGGCTCGGCGGCGGCCTCCTCCTTCTCTGTGACGGCAGGGAGAGGGGCGTCCCCCGCGGCCGCGCCGGCCTCCTGCGCATTGTGCTCCAGGGGCGGCTTGGCTGCTCCGGGCTCCGAGTCCGACGAGACCCGCGTCACGGTCCTGGTGATGCTTCCAGAGGACGTCTTGATGGTCTTGATCCTCACCTTCAGCGGCCGTGAGGAGCTGGACGAGGGAGACCCGGTGGCCTCGTCGTCGTTCTCGTCCTCCTCCCACTTCTCCTCCTCTTTGCCGAGCGCGCCTGGGGGGCAGAGCAGGGGCTTCTCAACCGGCTCTTCCTTCAGGACAGCCCCGCTGGGGTGCTTTGGGGAGAGGGCAGGCCCAGGGCTCGCCTTCACCAAAGGGGGGCTTTTCAGGAGCTGCTCCGGAGGGCTGGCGGGGGAACACTTTACATCCGGGGCTCCACTGGGGCCTCCGTCGAGGCTCGCCTCTGAGGCCGGCCAGGGCGTGACGGGGGAATCGTCCGTGGAGTAGCAAACCGAACCTGGCTTTGGCGGGCCCACTGGACCTGCCCCCCGGCAGGGCACCTCGCAGTCCGATTCCTGCTTGATAACCAGAGGTGCCGGGGGAGAAGGAGGTGGTGGTGGGGTCAGAGGAAGGCCTGCTCCACCCACCGGGCATGCGTCGAACGCCTGCGGGAAAGCCGGAGGACGTGCCCCCGAGCTCTCCCGGCAGTCCAAGGGTGGGACGGACGCGAGCACGGGGGGCGGGGAGAGGGAAGGCACCGGCAGGCTCTTCTCTTTGGGCTTGCTCTCACGGGGCTGGTCGATGAGGCAGGCCTCACCATCCTCGTGCGGATCTGGGCTGAAGTGGGAGAAGAGGTCCAAGCTTTTGGTCCCCTTCTCTTTGGGTGGCCAGCACTCCCCGTTGGCGGGGGCCGCCACGTCCGCAGGGTGGCCGGGGGAGGCGTGCGGCACCTCGGGGGCCGCGAATCCATTCTGCAGCAGGCGTGCCCCGATGCCGTGGCTGTCCTTGACGCGCCCGTCCACCACGTCCAGCTGCTCGGGGCAGACCGTGTTCTTCACAATGACGCTGACGGTGGTGATGTCTGCGTGGGGAAGCGCATGCTCGGGGACCACGTTCTCCACAGGGATGGGCTTGATGTGCGCCTCCGCCTCCTCATGGCCGGAGTGGATGGCCTCGTTCGTGTCGATGTCAGGAATGTCAAAAGCCGCTAGGAGGTCATCGAAATCTGGGGTCTTCATGTCGCCCATGGTGAAGGTGTCAGAAGGTTCCGGAAGGCTACAGGGCGGGGGAAGAGAGAGAAACGGTTACGGACGGACACAAGAGGCCACTGCTCTGCCCAGCCGAGTAGGAGCACCTTCCGTGGCAGTGCTTCCCGGGGTGTGGGACTGCACCCTCACCCAGCTGTACGCAGGCGCCAGGACGGGACCTGGGCCTCTGGTGCCCAAGGCAGAAGCCCTGCCACGGAGGGGGCTCCCCAGGAGGCGGCGGCCTGCAAGTGTCGGGGCCAAGGCAGAGGCACGTGCTCAAAATTACGGGGCGCCCAGGATTCCGCGCCGACGGGAGCCTCGCACCTGTCCAGACCCGGCAGCCGCCCTGCATGCCAAGGGCGTGGGCGCCGTATCCACCTCCACGGCCCGGCTTTCCCCCTGGTTTGAAAAGACACGCTCAACAACTTCCTGGAAGGGAAACGGGAGCACCAGCGCAGTCCAGAAGTGACCCACACGTGGCTACGGCTGCTGCTTGCGTCTCGGCCCGAATGTATCCGTTTGTTCCGGACAACCTCACTTTTACAGCTGGGCTCCACTTCCGCACGTCCCACAGAGCTGAACCGAGGGACCTCACTGGCACCGGGTGGGACGAGGGCTGCCGACCCAGAGAGCTTCCAAAGGGGGACTGGACGTGTTCCTGGAGGGAGCGGTTACCGAGCGCTCCTAGGCATGGTGGCTGCCGGCACCCCCCGTCCAGGGAGTAAAACTCCTCTGGATACGAGCTGGAGCAGAGTGTTCACACATACCCCTGGTCTCATGAAGTAGACCAAAAAGGCGACCAGTACATTGATTAAAAAGCCTCCTTCAGATGCTGCTTCCTGAGACCAGCTCTTCCAAGTCAGGCAGGCAATCCTTGCTTCTGTTTTGTTTGTTTTTGCGGCTGATCCCACAATACGTTTCATTGGTTTTTGCCACTGCTGTGCTCCGGCTAATTCTTATCCAGGTTTTTCCTTGTTTAGAGGGCGGGGGAGGGGTGGGCAGGGAGGAGTTTGGTTATTTGGAGACTGCTGCTCCAAAGAAAAAGGAAAACAGCCTATTCTCTTGCCTTTCTGTCCCGCAAGAGAGATCTCTTGCACAAAGGTTTGCTTTTGAAGGGGGGGAAAAGAAGCGGGGAGGGACAAGAGACAAAGGCAAGCCCGCAACTTTCCTCAGGTGTGCTTTCCCCTCCCCCACTGGAGCCACCGGACAGGTGCCTGGAAATGCTGCTGGCCGGCCTCCCCAGCTTCTCGGCCACCTCGGTGGCGGCGACAGAGGCCCGGAGGAGCCGTCGCCTTGCCAATCATGGCCTGACGCAAGCGGATTAGGTCTGCCGGGAGGGAAGGGGCGGCTTGACAAAAGGCTCTGGTGCGTCTCCCGCCGTTCCAGGCTGAGAGTGCACAAGCCTCGAGGGCCAGGAGGCCGGCCCAGCCCCGCAGCGCCCCTGCTCCCCAGCCCTGAGCGCCCGCCGCGTGGGAGGCCAGGCGTCCTCACCCCAGCGCTGACCCCCCCCCCCGGGGTGCTGCTTCGCCCGGCTCTTGGCAAAGGGGCAGCTATAGCCGCAGTCGCGAAACGGAAGAGCTGCCTTCGGGGCCGCACGGCCAAGGATGCCGGGAGCTGGAGGCAGAGGGGCAGGTGCGGCTCCCGGCTCCCTGCCTCCTGCCCGCCGAGGCCCCCAGGAGCGCCTGGCCGCCACGGCCGGGAGCGGGGGGGGGGCGTGTGTGCAGACGGACCTTTGCCCCCGCCCAGCACGGTCCCTCACGTGCCTCCGTGCAGCCACGCTTCACGAGGCCCCCCCACCCGCAGCGTACGGGGGCGCAGGCGCCTCATGGCAGGGAGGCGGGCGCAGGTAGGGGCAAGGCTCCGGGGGGCCCGGGCGGGAGGGCAGCAGAGGCAGAGGCGAGGGGAGAGGTCTGGGGCTCGCCCCTGGCTGGAGCTGCAAAAAAGCCCTGGCAAAGGGGCGCGGGGGGGGGCGCTTCTCGCCCGCTGAGCAGCAGACCCGGAACCTGTCCGAAAGCAAGCCTGACCTGGAGGGGGAAGTTTCTCGGGGGAAGCCCTGCAGAAGCCAGGAGAGCAAAGGCCAGAAGCAGAAGGGACGAGGCGGCCGGGGAGAGAAAGGGGAAGGGGGCGACGGAGAGGAGGCGGGTGGCCTTGGGCTTCCGCCAGGCAGGCGTGCCAGTTGCGGCTCCACTGCGAGGGGCCACGGCAACTGCCCGGTTCGGCTCCCCAGCATGAGCTCACGAGGTCGGGGCTCAACAGGGACAGCTGTGAAGGGAGGCGCTGGGAGCGTGCAGCACGGAGGAAAACAAGCACCCAACTCCCACGGGGCCAAGCAACACGGCAGGAACCAGGCCTGCGCCTCCCGCACTCCACGCACCCAGCCCAGGCCCACCTTCCAGAGAGCTTGCTGCTCGCCCCACTTCGTCTGTTTGGCCCCTGAGCTTTGCCATGGGGTCCGTGAGACCCGGAGGGGGAGGCAGGGGGACCTGGCTGAGGGATGGCTGGCCCCAGACCCCGCAACCCTCGAGGAGGGCCTCTCCTTCCTTGCCCCCCAAAGGGCGGATGCCACGCGCTCCAGCGGGCCCTTTACGCTCTGGCCACTGAGAAGGGATGCAGAGACTGGCCTTTTGCTGTTTTTAGGTGGGCCTGTGAAAGATCTGCTGGGCCACTTAACAACAGAAGAGCTGCCCAGGGATTTCCAGGAAAGGATAAAGAAAGGCACACCTGGTTGGCGTCTGAGGCCGTTTCCAAAGCACTGCCCTTGGCAGCTGCCGACCCTCCCCGCCTTGAAAACAAAGCCGGAGGCCTGCCCGAGTCAACGGCCGGTCAGCGCTGCACAGTGCTGGAGCACCGGGCTCAGACCAGGGAGAACCCCCCCTGCCAGCCATGAGGCCAGCTGGCTAATTTGGGGCCAGTCGCTCTCTCCCAACCTGCCTTACAAGGTTGTTGTGCGGATGCAATGGGGTGGGGAGGACACAAGCGACGCCAGACTTGCCCGAGCTGGTGCCGTTCAGAAAGGAACGTCAGGTGCTTCGATTCACCACATCTGGACTGATTTTGCACCTCCTCGGGCACCTGGGCTGGCAGATGTGCGCATCTCTCACTCCCCATCTGAAAGGTGTGGTATCAGCCTAGCCAGAAAAGTGAGGGAAACTGGCTAGCTACCTCCACGAGGGCAGAACGGCCTGAAACTGGCTGGGGCGTGCATCTCTCCCAGCGCTGAAGAGACGGGAGAGGTCAGGGCCACCAGGGCTCGGCCTCTCCTCGCAGCAACATCAGCGAGGAACGGCGGGTGGTCTAAAGCGGCAGGTCGGTCCAATAGAGCTCAATGTGCTTAGCCGAAGTGGGGGCCACTGGGCTAATTTTAGACACCGAGGCCAAGAGTTCAGAGCGGGCTGGTGAAAACTATTTTTGTTCTGGTGTGATAATGTGAAAGGAAAGTGAAAATCAGCAGCGGCTAGTATAGAAACTCCTCAAAGCCTTTGCAACCTGTATTTGGAACAGAATGGGCCACGAACCCTTGTGGTACTATCTTGTTGCTGCGACTCCAGCGTTAATACATTCTTTAGGGTTAGCATTCAAATGTTTTTAAAAGGAGGGTTGGTTGCTTTTATTCACCTTTTGAAGAACCTCGACAATTCCTCCAGCATCTGGCTCTGGAACTGCATGGACAGCTTTTATGGATAGTATTGTTAAAATTTAGCAGGAAAGAGGCAAGTAGCCAACTCATCAATAATCTGTCTTGGGCTGTGGTTCGTACAGGAACTCATAGCAGACGACAACCAAGAATGGGCAAAATCCAGCCCAAGTTGCCTTTCTGGCCATTTCTTTCCTCTGTCTTGGAGGACCAAACGCTGGAAAACCACCTGCGCTCACACTGACCTTTCACACGGCTTCCAAGCACACACGCTTCCTTGGAACCATGACCAAACAAGATCAGATTAACAGAAAGCTACTGTGCGGGAAGTACCAATCCTGCAGTTCCAACAGCAACAAACCAGCAACAGTATTTCAGCAGCAAAGCAAGGACAACAGCAACAGCGGATCTGGAAAGGCCAAAGCAAGCTGTTTCATCTCCTAATGCTGCTTGGTTTTTGGCAGATTGGGGGGGGGGGGAGGAAGGTAGGGCTGAAGGGGTATTTAAATGGATTTTTAAATGGACCAGGAAATCAACATGAAAAAGCACAAAAAGAAAGTCAGGGTGTGGGAAGGAAAGGACCTCTTTCTAGCCTATCAATTCTGATAGCTGAAGATTTTAAGTTAAATGCAAGCATTGTTCAGTTAAAGGTATGCCCCAAAAGGAGGAGGAAGTCATCCCACTTAAGCTATTGTGATGCCAAATTATTTTTTTCAGGAGATTAGAAAGCAAGGGGGTGCTTCTTCTGAAAAGGGAGGGGGCAGTGGCAGCTGCGGGGGGGGGCGGTGCTGGTGGTCTGCAGGCTTCCGCTTGGTCTCCTCATTCTGAATGAGCTGGGCAGGGGGGTGGCTGGGCCCATGTGCCCCTGCCTGGTGCGGCTCCACGCACGCACGCCCCGGCAACAGCTGCACCAGAGAACATACACAGCCCGGCCTTGTCCACAGCACGTGCACACGTACCGTTTGTATCGGGTGGGAGCACGAGTGCAAGCTTTTCTTGGAGGACCTGTTGGGCCGTCCTGCGACCGGCTGGAGGGAGACAGGCCAGGCAGCTCCGCTGCCCTCTGAAAACAGAGGGAGTAATTAAAATCTCACTGTCCTTGCACAGCTGAGAACCAGGTTCAGAAAGTTCCCCGGAATCAGGGATGTGTCACTTTCTCACTGCGGTAACTTAGAAAAACACACACACACAGCAGGGACCGCTTCGCCGCCTCGGTACATTGCTGCCACCACCCTCCGGATAGCAAGGCAGAAACGGACAAGCCTACAATTTCCCCGATTTTTATGCTCCTCAGCTTGCGCAGCAAGACGCAACATGCCTGGGAAGGGTGGGAATTTCAGTTTATGGACAAATAACAACAACACAGGTTGGGGCAACGGCCTGGCGATTCCTCAGCGGAGCGGCACTCCCCCCTCCCCGCCACCGAGGCAGCTACGTCAGATGTTAGGCCAGCGTTTTTGCAGAGTCGCACAATGAGAGAGCCGCAAAGCTTGCTCTGGGTCGCCATCTACGCCGCTCTCCTGCCTCCGCTCTTGCATCCGAGGGGTGTGGAGCGGTCCTGAGGAATGTCCCCTCCCCACACCCCAAAATGCAGTAAAAGGGCGTACCGCAAGGAGGAGTATCTTGGGAAATCCGCTTCGCCCCTGAACCACTGGGCAAGGCAAGGGGAGCGGCCTTGGGGCAAGGGGGCAGGCATGCTCTGCCTGCTGAAGCCCCCCGCTTTGGTCCCCGAGGGCATCTGGAGGGGGGCTGGGGAGGCCTCCTGCCTGAACCGCCTGTTCTGCAGCTCCACCGGCTGAGGAAGGTTTTTGATGGAACTGAACCTTGCAATGCTATACACGTGCTCCAGACCCCAATTCAAGTGGGTCAGGCTCAGGACCCCTTAGCCATCCCACCTCCACCCCAACAGCTCCATATTCCAGATGAAAGCCCAGCGGCAGCCTAGCTGAAGTCTGGCAAGCGATTAAATTCCAGAGTGTTTAACAGAATTAAGCCTCCACCATCTGCTAACTTTAAGTAAAACACCACCGAGCGACCGAGCAAAAGGAGGTGGGGTGGGGGGAGGAGCTAAACTGTGGCTCAGTTGCAGAAAAAAGCGCAATTTTAATATAAAAATAAAGAAAGACTTGCTGGGCTTGGGATGAAGCTGTGCTTTTTAAAAATCGCACAAACTCGTCTCCACCTCAACGCCGCAGGCAGAGTCAAGTGGGAAAGCCTTCCCTTGCCTGGCCCAACACAAGACTCAGGAAGCCATGGGAAATCACATTTTTAAACAGACCCCTAAAAATAGAAAGCCAGCATCTCCGTGTGATACTGCACTTGGCCTCTGACATATTGTTTTTCCATGTTTAGGATGGCTGTTCAGTGCATGTTACCCCCCCTTCACCAAGCCCCCCCCCCCACACACACTGCTTCAAGCACCCTTCACAGGGAAGGACTCAGGTTCAATGACTGGTACC